TGAGGGCGTGCCCTCGGACAGGTGGCCAGGAATAGAGGGAGGAAGGGAAGGAGGAAAGGAAGAAATATCAATAATTTAATTCAATGTAAACAGGAGTTTGGAGCCATGGCCCATGAGAAAATAATTTTCCACTTCACATAGGAATCTAGAGGAATCCCTTGGACATTCTCAAGGTTTGAAATTTGGTTTGAGACAATCTTACCTAGGTCATAAGGGACAGGACCTCCCCAAATGTCTTAGTTTATTTTCTGCTGCTATAACAGAATACCACAGATTGGGCAATTTATAAAGAAAGGAAATATATTTGGTTCATGGTTCCAGAATCTGAAAAGTCCAAGAGCGAGGTGCCAGCATCTTGTGACAACCTTTGTGCAGCATCATCCCATGGCAGAAGGTGAAAGGGCAAGAAAGGGTGTGAGGGAGGGAGCAGGAGAGGGTCAAACCAGCATTTAGAGCAAACCCACTCTCACAATAATGGTCTGTGCCAGCACCTTCTTCACTGCAAGGTTGTGAGGTGAGTCTCGTAATATGCATTCTCTTTGGCAGGTGATGGAAGTCAGAACAGTGCTTGTTCTTGGAGGGAGCTGACTAGCAGGGGTCCCAGGGACCCTCTGGGGAGCTGGAGGTGCTCTATATTTTGATCACAGTAGTGGTAACATGGATGTATACACATACAAATTCAATTGCGCTGCACTCATAAGATATGTGTATTTTACTGTGTATAGTTTATACCTCAACTGAAATAATTAATATCCTCTAAAGGCGTCCCATTGCTTAGAGAATAAAGTCTGGACTCTCCTGGGCCTGCCAGGTGCTATAACAGCTGGCCTGCCTTCATCCGCTTTGCCCCCTGCACTCTTCCTCTTGCTCTCTGCACTTCAGTGTTCTCCATCAGTTCCTAAAACTGGCCACAATCTCAGCTCTAGGATTTTGCCCTTGCTGGTCCCCTTGCCTAGAAAGTTCTTCTCCAGTTACCCTTCCTCTCCATAATCCCAGGCCGAGAACTAGGCCTTCCTGCTTAGCAATGGGAAGACCCAGTTCCCTGGAGAACCTCCCTGCAGGGCTTCCCACTCTCACCCTCTCCACCCTGGTATTGCCGTCCTCGCTCCTCCTGGAATCTTCCACGACTGTGTTTCTTTTCTTTTGGGTCCTCCACTCTCCCTTAGAAACCTTAATCCTCTTGTCTAAGTCCATTTTCTGCTGCTATAACACAATGGCTAAGACTGGGTAATTTACAAAGAGAAGAGGTTTATTTTGGTTCACAGTTCTAGAGGCTGGGAAGTCCAAGATGGGGCAGCCTCACCTGGTCTGCTTCCACTGAGAGCCTTGTGCTGCCTCCTAACATGATGGAGAAGCAGAAGGGCAAGTGAGTACATGCAAAAGAGAGGGGACAGAGGACTCTGACCCACTTTATAACAACCCACTTTCATCAGAACTAGTCCATTCCCTCAAGAACTAACCCAGTCTGGAGAGAAGGACATTAATCCATCTTAGGAGCTAACCACTTTTTACAGGCCCCTTCTCCCAACACAAATTGCCAATTTATATTGGCAATTAAATTTCAACATGAGCTTTGGAAGGCACAAGCCACATCTAAATCATAGCACCTCTCAAGCCAAGAGACCTGCCTGCCCTTAGCACCCTGACACAAAGTGCCCTGGGTAAGGCCCTGTGGGGAAAAACAAAGAACTGGGCAGCAGCAGATTCTCAGTGTGACTTGTAGAGATCATCAGACTCATATTCCAATGAACTTTAATTGTTGTAAAAATACATGTAACATAAAATTTACCGTTTTAATCAGTTTTTTTTTGTTTGTTTGTTTGTTTTTTGAGACAGAGTCTCACTCTGCTGCCCAGAGTAGAGTGCCATGGCGTCAGCCTAGGTCACAGCAACCTCAAACTCCTGGGCTCAAGCAATCCTCCTGCCTCAGCTTCCCGAGTAACTGGGACTACAGGCATGCGCCACCATGCCCGGCTAATTTTTTCTATATAGATTTTTAGTTGTCCAGATGATTTCTTTCTATTTTTAGTAGAGACGCGGTCTCGCTCTTGCTCAGGCTGGTCTCGAACTCCTGACCTTGAGTGATCCACCTGCCTCGGCCTCCCAGAGTGCTAGGATTACAGGCGTGAGCCACCGCGCCCGGCCAATTTTAATCCGTTTTAAGTGTACAGTTCAGTGGTATTAAGTACATTCATGTTGTCATGCAACCATCATCACCATCCTTCCACAGAACTCTTTCCATCTTGCAAAACTGAAACTCTATACCACTAAATAATAACTCCTCGTTCCCCCATCCTCCCAGCCCCCCAATCACCATTCTACTTTCTTCTCTTTGATTTTCATGACTCTAGGTATCTCATACAAGTGGAGTCATACAGCGTTTGTCCTTTTGTGATTGGCTTATTGCACTGGCATAATGTCCTCAAGGTTCATCCGTGGTGTAGCACGTGTCAGAATCTCTTTCCTTTTTAAGGCTGAATTATATAGATAGACCACATTTTGTTTATCCATTCATTCGTTGACTGACGCTTGGGTTGTTTTCACCTCTAGGCTTTCGTGAATAAAGCTGCTCTGAACATGGTTGTACAAATATCTCTGTGAGCTCCTGCTTTCAATTATTTTGGGTATATATCCAGAAGTGGACTTGCTGAAGACTCTGGTAACTTTCTGTTTAGTTTTTTGAGGAGCAGCCAATACCATTTCCCACGGCAGCTGCACCATTTTACATTCCCACCAACAGTCTACATGCACAGAGCAGAGAGCTTCGGACAAGGGTCTGGGTCTTTGAATAACAGAGCTCTGAGAAGGAACTTTCCCAAGGGCTGCCTCTTGCCTTCCTAAGACCACAGCTAACCCCTGGGAACGGATCGTGGTGCCTGAGCAGTGCTAGCCACACCGCCAAGGTCAGAATTCTGGGTGGCCTGGCACTGTGCCTTGACAATTCCTCCCTACTGCGCTGATCAGTCTAAAAACACATTGACCTTGTTTGTTTGCCTGTGTCCCCTCCCTGTAAGGCGTGCAGCTGAGTGCCCCCTCTTGGGCTGGACTCATTAGCGACACCGATTGCCTATGACTCACCTCCAAGGCACACGGTAATGCTAAGGCGCTTGTTTGCTGGAACTCTTAGCTGTGCCTGTGTCTCTCCAGATCTCAGAAACTTTTTCTTTTGACAGTATTTATGGAGATACTGTTGGTGTAAACTGCACAGGTCCTGGTTTGCTGCATGCATTCGTACGTATGTAAACACCCGTGCAACCACCACCCAGATCAAGATCGGAAACATTTCCAGCCCCCAGAAGGCTCCGTCGTGCCTCTCCCAGTCAGTGACCCCCAAAAGTAACCTCTATTCCAACCTGTGGTTGGACTTGATGTGAAAGGAACGATCACAGCCTGTGCTCTTTTATACCTGGCTTCTTCCACTCAGTGGTGAGGTTCGTCCATGTTTCCCATGTTCTGGCTCCTTTTCATTGCTGAGGGCTGTTCTGTTCAATTAACTTCTCCTTTCTCCTATCGGTGAACTGTTTCCAGTTTGGGGCTATGACAAGTAAAGCTGTTATAAACACATGAATATGTTTTTCTTTTTCTTGGATAAATATTAGGAGCGGAATAGCCAGGACATAGGAGAAGTAGATATTTGACCATATTACAATTCAACAGGCAGTTGTACTGAGTTGTATTTTACACTCCAACATGCAGTGAGTGAGAGTTCCAGTTGTTCCATATCCCAGTGAACCGGCAATTTCCTGGGAATGACGTGCCATGACAAAATTGTCCACGGTGTCAGAGAGGATTGTGAAGAATTTCCCTTCTTTTCCCTCTTTGCTGCTCCAACTGTTGCTGGTTGATCCAGGAACATGAGGGGGGTGGAGGGCGCAAAGGGGACGCAGGGCCTCAGTCTACGGGAGCATCTCAAAGACGCCAGTCTGCAAATCCTGGAGCATCTAGGCAGAGGGCGAACAGGAGGAAACGTGCAAACACATGTATGGCTCTGGGTGCCCGCTCATGCCAATATGACCCTCACCTGCTCTTCCCAAGGGCGATCACTGGGCCTTCTCCTTAGCACATTGCAGGGACCTGGTTGACTTCGCGCAAGTCTATTGTCGTGGCTCCCCTCCCCTCTCTCCTGCCCGTCCTGCTGTTCTCTGATTCAGCCAATTATTTCCCCTAAATAGGTTGCGAAGCCGATTAAAGACAGTTTATGTCCTATGTTCCCTTCCACTCCCTTGTCACTTGGATTGTTCCATTAGCTCCAAGACGTCTCCTCTCCTCACACTAAAGCCCAGGAAAAAGGGACAGAGAAGACAGGCAGAAGAGAGGACAGAGATCAATTCACCGAAAGGGGGATCAGAAGCTTCTGGGCACCACTATACTCTGGAATAAAAATCTTCATTATGGCCTGTCTCTTGCAAAATATTCCTTTCTACAGAATTATGTTTTGACGTGAGGAATAGAAATTTGAAGGGCAGAAATACTTCGGGAGAGCCTAAGTATCTTCATATAGCTCAGGCTGCCACTAATTAGCTGTGTGACCTTGGGTATGTCTCTTGGACTGTGAGCCTCAGTTTCTCCGTGTGTAAAATGGGTTGAAGCAGGCCCTGCCCACCACCCACCTGTGTAACAGGCAATGCCCAGCCCCAATGTTCTCGGGACACTGTGGGGGAGCATGGCCACGTGCTTCTGGGTGCTGTCGTCTAGAAACTTGCTATCATGTATCTTGAACCCACATGAGCCACATATGATTCCATCTCAAGGGTGGAGCACAAGAGAAGAGTGGTGGGAAAGGTCACTGGGACTGGGAGTGTCCACCTTCCTCCTGCCCAGTTCCACCCTCAGCCCTGCCCCCCCAGCACCTTGCCTTTCTGTCTCTCCAGAACCACTTCCTCATGCACCTGGCACCTGCCCATTTGAATAATTGCCAGCTTGTTTGGTTTGTATATCCTTGTAAAGCCATGCCCTGTGCAGAGGACTGCCAGGCTGGTGAGAAAGGCGGCGGAGGACAGATGGCTTTCAGCGGTGCCCAAGCTCCTTACCTGAGCCCGGTGAGTTCCAGGACTGGGCATGTGGGGCTGAGCTGGCTGCCACAGCCAGGGGGAAGCAGCTCTGGGTCTCTAAAAGGAAACATGTGGTGGGTGGCAGGGACGTGGTGGGGGACATCCCAAAGAGATCACAAGAAGGGAAGAAATGCCACATGGGGTAATCCTGACGCATCCTCTGTGCCATGCAGAGCTCGCCCGACTGCAGGGATTCGTGGGTTTGGCAAATGTTTATTGAGCTGTCCTGTCCTGCTCCAGGAGGGGGTTGGGGGATAGGCATAAGCACTGTCTAGAGGGTGAGTGTTCACGCTTCTGAGATGGTAACGACCCACCATGGTAGCTGAGGACATGCACTTAGAGAGGGCTCTTGGAGTTCCACCATTTACTAGCTGGGTGGCATCAGGCAAGGTACTTTCACCTCTCTGGGCCTCAGTGTCCACATCTGTAAAAGGGGAATATTACCTGAGCCCACCTCCCAAAGTCGAGGTAAGAATTAAGCAAGGAGCATGTTTGAGCAGTGCCTAGTGCATTTAGGTGCTTTCGGTGTGTTTAGTACTAATAATCTGGGGGCAGGAGGGAAGGAGTCCTGAGGAGGTGTCTGTGCCCTGAGGGGTCAGTCAGAGTTAAGGCAAGGGCACGTCCAGGGCGTCTGCAGAGGGACAGTCACAGAAGGGAGAGGGGAGCGGAGACTCCACTCTGCAGTGTGGGACGCACAGGGCTGCCTTCTGTACCTTTCACCCGCGTGCATAGGCCCTGTGCGCAGTCCTTGTTAAACGCTGCGAGGTTTGTGATTCCCACTTCATGCATGGGAAACTGAGGCTCAGAGAGGTAGAAGTCAGAGGGTCACTGCAGCCGCCACAGGTGTCGAGAGCACCCGTCCTTCCCACGGGGGCTCCCCCAGGCTGAGCAACTTAAGCCTCATGCGGGTGATCCAGTGACCTCTGGCAGTCGGAGCCACACTTCTTCCAAATGCTCTCTGCAGGGGAAGGTCACACAGTCCCCTGTTCTGCTGAGGAGTGACACATGCCACGAGGGCCTGTCCAGCCTCCTCTAGCCCAGCCTCCCCTGAGGCCCAGGAGGGAAGCCAGAACCACCAACACGGTGGGACCTGCTGTGTGGCCCAGGGAAACACTGGGGAGCCAGGAGCAAGGATGTTCTGTGTCCGTCTGTGAAAGCAGCCTGTGTGGGGGTTAAAACGTGGGTTCTGGGTTTCAAACCCCAGCTCTGCTGCTGACCAGCTGTGTGGTTTTGGGCAAGTTACTGAAGTTTTCTGTGCCTTGGTTTCCTCATCTGTAAAAGTGGCACTAAAGATGGCCAGGATGGTTTCAAGGCTAAATGAGGTAACACAGGCATGGAAGGGGGGCTGCCAGCAGGGCCTTGGAGCCACCTCCTGCTGGTGGGCAGCCCCGGCCAGCCAGGCTGAGCTCCCCACTGCCGAGCCGGGATGGGTGCCCTCTGGTGACACTGAGTCCAGAAGGAGGCTGCCCACACTCTGGCCTGCAGGGATCGGCTCTGCTTTCTAGACTTCCAAATAGGAAGATGAGGGGAAAGTGCCCAGCTCTGGGCACGACCAGGAGCAGAGAGCAGGTTCTCACCCAGTGGAGGGATAGCTGCGTCCCATGCAAACAGCTGCATTGCAAGGCCACCGTGAGCCAGGCCCTTTCCACGTGACATCTCAGGGAGTCCTCTCCAGAACACTGCCAGGCTGGCAGCATTGTCCCGCTGTTCTGAGGAGGGAACCGGGGCACAGATGGGTCAAGTGACTTGGCCAACGCCAGGACTACTAGCACATGGAGCTGGGAGGCGAGCCCAGGCCTGCGGGACCACAAATCCAGGGCAAAAATCCATCCTCTGGTGCCGCATGGAGCAAAGGCAAGTCCAGTTTTTTTCCTGTGTCTTCTGCTAAGATCCCTCAGTAACACACAGGGACCCACATTCCACAGCAGCCTTGGCTGGCCAACCTTTGTCAACGGAAAAGAACCCGAACTCTGCAAGATAATCTCAAGAGGTTTACCTGAGTGAATGATGACCTGCAGGCGTGGTTTCACCTTTGTCTTACAGGCCTTAGGCTTCCTAATGATTTCATATCTCACTTTCGCAAAGATTAACTCCAAAAGGGACAGGGCATAACTAGGGGTGCCTGACCTCCCTTCGCTTCACGGCCGGTGGCTCAGCTCTAAGGATATTTTCCATGGAGGGGAGTCCCCTCGGCCAAGAAGGGGTCCATTCAGTCGGCTGGGGGGCTTGAGATTTTATTTTAGGTCACATCTTTACAACAAATTTGTTCTCCTCCAGTTCTGGGCTCAGAAGTCTAGAATCAAAGTGTCAGTAAGGCCGTTTCCTTCTGGAGGCTTCGAGGAAGAATCTGTTCCCCTGCCTTTTGCAGCTTCTAGGGGCTGCCTGCATGACTGGGCTCTGGGCCCCTCCTGCCATCGTAAAGCTGGCAGCTTCCTGCTTCAGTTGTCCCATCTCCTGCTACTGACCCTTGCCCTCCTGTTTCGCTCGTGATTACGTGGGGCCACCCGACTAATCCAGGACAATCTCCCCATCTCAAGTCCTTCACTCAGTCACCTCTGTTCCCTTTGCCATGAAAGGCAACACAGTCACAGAGATTAGAACGTGGACCTTTTTGGGGGTTGGGGAGTGGGGGTGGGTATTATTCAGCCTAACACACCCTCCTGGGAGTCAACCAGTGTTAGAAGTTTCTCACAAGTAAGTCCAGAGATATTGTATCTGTACATAAGTAAATGCAAGTGTACAGCCTTCTGCCACCCATTTCTTATACAAATGACATCATTCCATATCAGTGCTTGAATAATTCCTTGCTTCCTTTCTTTTCTCTTTAGAAGACTACATAGAATCTGTGGTATGGAAATCATATAATTTCTTTCACCTTTCTCCTATTGGTGGACTTTTAGGCTCTTTGGAATCCTTTGCTATTATAATGCTGCAATAAATAAAAGTATTTGTAGCATTATACTTAATTTAGTTACCATTTCAGGTATACTGAAATCTCACGGAACTTTCTGGGGTAATTGTTGCTTTAGAGAGAACCTGTATTGTCCCGCCCCCGGGACGCCTACCTGTTCTTCCTCCATCCCAGGTTCCTTAACGCTTTCTGTGCACTTATGATCCCATGGTCCTCCGCTCTGCTTCCAGGTCTTATTCCTTAGCATGAATGTGCTTAAGCGGAGGCTGCGTGTGCGTCCTAGGACTGCGCGTGTTTTCAGCACTGTCGCAGAAGAGAATTTCAGGCTTTCACAAGCAGGCGAGGGGGACACGTTGGACAAACATTTTCAGGGAAGACAGGGCTTCCCAGTACTGTGCTGTGCTGGTCCGTAACCGTGTCAGGCCAACTCACTTCTCCCCAGCCACTGGCATGGACAGGGACAACAGAGAGAACTCGGAGACACAGAGAGGCTGTGATGGGCTCAAAGTCTCTAAAGTATTTAATGGCAGAGTTCAGGCCTGCCCCGAGGTGTAACAAAAGACACCCCTCTCAAGTCCATGGGTAGCACAGACTGAATGAGACAGGCATTTCTGCGGCTTTCACGGTGTCAGTCGTGTACACTGAGCTCGGATGGGTTCTGTAGGCTCTGCGTGGTCACACAACTCAAGGATACAGGCCAGAAAGCACTGGCTGTGCACTGAATTAGGCTGGTGGGTGCTTCTTGTTTGGTCTGCGCAGTGTTTGTTTCAACTTGTTATTGTAGGAAATTCAGACATGCAGAGAGAATAATATCAGACAACACGCAGCCACCACCCGGCTTCAACAGTCATCAACACTTGGCCTATCGTGCTTCATCCATACCCTCGCCTATTTTCCTTTCCACCCTCAGATACTTTGAAGCAGATCCAGATATATCATTCCGTTGCAAATATTCCATTATGTAGCTCTATAATGTAGAAATTTTACACCGTCCATTTTGAAGGAATTTCCCCCAGAAATTAGAAAATTTTACATAAAAAAATAAATCCAGATTTGTATTTTTTCCTAAAAGTTTGGAAGCTCTGCCAGCGCTGGGCCTGGAAGGCAATCATTGGTTGGGGCTGAGAGGGTGCTGCCCCTTTAGGTGTGTGTAGGGGGGGTGATGTCTACTTTGCCACAGTCCCCACCACTCCCTCTTGTCCTACCTGGCCATCTCACTCATGCACATCACTGCCTCACTCCTGTAAGCATTTAATTTTGTACAAATTGACCTGAAGGAGATGTTAGAGAACACAATAACAACTTGAGAAATGTAAAATCAGCTAGGAGATAGAACTGTGCTTTAAGGCATTTTGCAGAACCACATTGGACAAAAGATATTTCGGAAGTAGGCTTTGAAAGTGCAGAAGTACCGATTTGGACCTTTGGCTCAGAGAGACCAAGGTCGGGGGTTCTGGAGAGGCAACTACTACGTGCCAGTGTCTTCCACCATAGACATTTTCTCGCTAAATCATCAAACAATCCTACACAGTAGGGGGGCGTTATTCTTATTTTGCAGATGAGGAAACCGAGGCAAAGAGAGGTCAGACAAGGTTCACAAGGACTCAGGTAATGAGCGCAGAGCTAGGGAGCAAACCTGGAGGCGGCCCAGGCTCTGAAACCAAGCAGATGCTCGCCGTGACCCATTGGACTTCTAACGAGACAGGGAACAGAAGACGTGGCAACGCGGTTGCCAGTGGGGCCTAGGAAGGGTGGGGACTCTCAGCCAGGGCCTCGGAGGCTGCTGAGGGCCCAAGGGAAGGAACGGGGAGCACAGGGGCAGGAGCAGATGAGGGGCTGCCGAGGGCATTGGGAAGAGGCTCTCCTGGAAGTGGCCAGGAAGGCAGAGGTCACGGGGGCCATTGTTATATGGTGATGGTGGCAGGGGGACGCCTTCTTCCTGGCCCTCTCGGGTGAGTCAAAGGTTGAGCTTCCAGACCCTTAGTGGGTCCATTTTGTCCCTTGGGCTTCCGAATGCCCAGCCTGGGTTCTGGGCCTTTGCTGGGAGCATGGCTTGGGGTGCAGCGCCCCACCCCCAGTTCCTTACCCTCTCAGGCCACGTCCATGCTCCTTCCCGGCCTGAGGCCTTCCTCCTGGTGCATTCTCTAGCGAAGCTTTCACTTCCTCTCCGCTCTCAAGTGAGCTCAGCTCCCTGTCACGTCCTCTCAGCGCCAGGCCGTCCCCTTATCACAAGCTTAGAACGTCTGAGTGTCTGATTGGATCGGTGTCTGCCTCTAAATAGGACCCTAAGGCCTGTGAGGCTGGGTCTCCTGGTCACAGCCGCACCCCAGCCCCTAGCACAGTGCTGTTGCTGTGGAAACCGCAAGGGGGTTTCAGCCTAGGTCCGGTTGCTCCTGTGCAGAGAGAAGGAACATCGCCAAGGGAGACTTTGGTCAGGAGATCGGGAAAAGCCACCTCAAACCCTGTTCCCGACCAAAGGCAAGTAGGGCCTTTTAAAGAGTAGAAATGAACAAGAAGCTACGTGCATTTTTGCAAGTGGTCTTGACACTAACAAGAGGCTACGTGCATGGGAACATGCTAGAGAGAGAAGGTCAGTTTGGGCATCAGGAAGTCTGCCCGGGGCCTTCGGAATCTCACCCCCATGTCTTACAGAAACTCAGCCATTTCTGGGAGACAACTCAGAAAGGTCAAGAGGTTACTGAGGGAGAGGATTATAAGAAAACACAGAGGGGTCATTGAAACTTGTTCATAGAGCTGGTTATAGCGTCACACCCAGCAGCCAGTGGCAAGCGCTACAGGGGAACAAACAGGAGGAGGGCGGCCACCCACTGACGGCCTCACACCTTCTCCCTGCAGGTCGTCCCCTTTTCTGGGACAATCCAAGGGGGTCTCCAGGATGGACTTCAGATCACCGTCAATGGCTCCGTGATTAACTCCAGGGAAAACAGGTGTGTACGTGGGCGGAACTGCTGTTTCCCTCCAAACTCTTCTCTTAGCAAACCCTGTGCCTATGAGCTCAGGTCAGATCAACCAACGACCTAGAAGCTGGCCCGCCTGGCTCAGGGGAGCCTGCGTGCGTCCCTGCCCCCGGCACAGGGCAGCACTCCACACCCGCATCCAGGGCCACCTTAACATAGACTCCAGGGCTAATGGGGCCCCCGGGGCTCCCTGTCTCCTGAGACCTCACTGTCTAAGGAGGGACGTGGGAGAGCCCAGAGGTAGATAATTATGTTACAGGGTTGAATTTTGTACACTATGACTCAGAAGTGCAAGAAGAGAACTTCCTTATTTCCTACAAAGTGCTTTCATATACTTGAATTCCTCATTCTCCTGCAGTGGCAATGTGAAGTTGCCATCCGAAGTAATTTGGTCTGTTGCGCTTTTGAGGCCTTTTCTGGAAAATACTGAGTCAATTCAAAATAGCAACGTGTTGTGAGGGCTGTTTCCCACGCCCTGCCTCCCTCCAGGGTGGGCTGTCTGGGAACAGGGAGGGTCTTGTCTGTCTTCTCAGGGACTGGAGGCGCCTCTGACCCTCACACAGGCCTGGCTGACTTCTGCTGAGGTAGCCAGTCCAGGTGTTACGGAGGTGTGCAGCTCTCACCTGGTTTGGTTGGGGACTCCATGGTGGCCGTGGACCCCTCCTCTGGACTCTCGGCTCTCTCTCGGAAGCCTCTCTGTCTCAAGCCCAGGGGTCCTCTCCTGGAGGTCTTCTGCGTCCCCTTCACGCACTTGCAGACCCCAGCTCACCTTCAGCTCGGCCATCTAGATCCTACGTGACTTCTGCACCATTGGCGTCCCACCAGGGTGGGCATGGCCACGTGGGCCGTGGGACTTATCTGAGAACCCTGCAGTGGGGCACCCGATCCCCCCAAACCCTCCCAGCAGGACAGTCCAGGACCTCTGACCTTCCATTGCTTTCTCTCTCCCTCTCCCTCTGCCTCCCCGGCGCCAGGAGGGCTTCTTACGCCCATCCTGTGTAGCAGAGAGGGTCCCTGTCTTACAACCATTCCCCTTCCCTTGGGAGCTTTCGCTTTCTCCCTTCCCTGGGGCAGGAATTTTCCAGGGACTACAGGAGTGAAGCTGGGGGGCCACAAAGGGAAATACATTCAGGGATATTTCAAACACAATTTCCCCATTTAAAGACAGAGTGGTGAATTTGCTAGATGCTCCTGGCAAGGGTGGAGAAAGATTTCTCACACATGGATTAGGATACACAAAAGTAAAGAGTTTATTTTACTTTCTTAGAAGGAATGAGATGGGGGGGAGAGAGAGAGAGAAGGAAAATTGCGTGGGACCCCCCAAAAAGAGAAGGGAGGTGCCCTTGCTGAGGCCACGTGGCTTGCTGTTTTTATGGGGACAAAGAGAAAGGAAAAAAAATAGTGATCGCTGTCAGTTGATAAGAGAAGCGGCTGGGGAGTAATTAGCAGGAGGCAGCTGTAAGATGTCAGGTTGTCCATCTCTCTGTCTGTCCGTCTTTTCCTGGTGACTTGGTTATCACTGGAATGTGGTTCAGTTGGTCTAGGGAGGCAGGTTTATTGCTGGCGATGTGATCTTGTCGGTGATCTCGCCTTTGAGGATCTGGTTTTGGGCAGGAACCGAGGCCTGAAGCTCACATCCGCCCTGTCTGCTTGGGAACTCTTCAAGGCTGTAAAGCAAATTCTCAAAGCGGTTTGGTCTATAGGTCTGCAAATGTAAAAGAGAAAGATTTACATTTCCTCTCTGTCTGCTGAGCTCTTTTCAGCTGTTGTGAAAACAGAACCCTGTGGGGTGCCAGTTAGCAAGAGAGCTCATGAGATTGATCTTAGCTGTTACAGAGAGACTGCGGGTTACATAATTTTTTTCTGTTATTTCGTTAGCAAGGCCATTCTCTCAATATGGACATAGTTTTGTGATTCCAGAGTTATCTCGAGCCTCCTTCCTCCCAATATTCCCAGAAACGGGGCTGCAGCACTTTTACGTGGGCCCTGCTGACTGAGGGTTCACGGACTGACTTTGCGTCGAGGACAGCAGCAGGGCTCTGATGGCCAGAGTGTTCCAGAATGTGCCGTCCTCCAACAGAGAAATCAGATAGGGCTCTACAGGAATTTTGGAGAATGTCTATCAAGGGCTGGCTCTGCTTTGCGCAGTGCTGTGCACTGTGGTGTGTGCAGAAGACAGAAAGCAGGGTCTGCCCTGAAGCGCTGTGTGTTGGTTAGGGAGGTGAGCGCCCCCATGAAGCAAGCAGAGAACCACACTCACCCTGAGTTCTGGGAAGCCTGGACCAGACAGATGCCTCGGAGGAGAACCTGAGCCTCACTCGGCTTTCGGGTGCAAGTGACGGACATCTAGGACAAAGCAGAGCAAGCACTTACTGAGCACCCATTGTGAGCCAGGCTCCTTGAAGTTTCTTTTGTTTAAATGCCCCACCTTAGAGCCCTGGCTATACCCAAATGAAGTTTAGAGGACGAGGGCCTCCTGCTGAGGAGAGAGAGGCAGGGAGAGACAGAGAGACAGAGAGAGACAGAGAGAGACAGAGAGAGAGAGACAGAGAGAGACAGAGACAGAGAGAGAGAGACAGAGACAGAGACAGAGAGAGACAGAGACAGAGACAGAGAGAGACAGAGATAGAGAGAGACAGAGAGAGAGACAGAGAGACAGAGAGAGACAGAGAGAGAGACAGAGAAAGAGACAGAGACAGAGACAGAGAGAGAGACAGAGACAGAGAGAGAGAGAAACAGAGAGAGACAAAGAGAGACAGAGACAGAGAGAGACAGAGACAGAGAGAGACAGAGACAGAGAGAGAGAGAGACAGGACACGCACTTACCTACACTGGAGGATTCCTCCACACGGCCTCATCTACTCATCCCCAAAGGATGGCGCCCCCTTTCCTGGGTGTGGCAACTCGAGGGAGGTGAGGTTCAGGAGTCATCCCAGAATGATGAGCAGTGCAGACCTTGGGTCTGAGTCCAGGCCGGCCTGGCCTCGGGGCCACCACTCGCACGCCTCCTGTGCTCCCCCAAACACACGCCAACACCTGAGGGAGAGACTGACACGGTGCAAGTCTTCATGCCTGGAGAGCTCACGTGTATTCTACGCCTCCCGTATAGACACTGTCTTTCTAGGCCAATTCCCATCAATTTCACATGTTCTTTGAATCTGTTCTCTTCTTTCCCAATTACTCAGGAGTGTGCTGGCCTCCAACGAGTGTCCATTTGGAGCTAAAGGCTCTCTCCTCCGGGCTCGCTTAACAACTTCCATCTTCGGTACCAATTTGGAACTGGTTTCTAGACCTTGCATCTCGTTGCTAGTGCCAGCGCTATGCTTTACCCATTTTCTACTTCTTGTAGAAAATCAAGCTGTAAAGGCAAAATGCAATAATTGCACAAAAACACTTTAGGTCCAAATTCGCTGAACGAGGTAGTGTCACCACGCAGGTTATACACCGGCTCCCAGAGAAACACGTCAGAGGTGCCGAGGCCCTCCTGTCCCTATCGTTGGCAAGCAGCCATGCGACAGACGACTATTTGCTTCCCCTGGGTCTAGGTTTGCTGTGAACTTGCAGACTGGCTTCAGTGACAATGACATTGCCTTGCATTTCAACCCTCGCTTTGAAAAGGAAGGATATGTGGTCTGCAACACGAGGCAGAAAGGACGCTGGGGGCCTGAGGAGAGGAAGAAGCCCATGCCCTTCCAGAAGGGGAGGCCCTTTGAGCTCAGCTTCCTGGTGCAGAGCTCGGATTTCAAGGTAAGCAGGAATCCCCTCCCCACCTCCAGCTTCCTGTCCCCACAGCTCGATGGGGCTTGGTGAAACAAGCCTTCAAATTATCACCTTCATGGAGATGCAGCCACAGTAACACGTGTGCAGATAACATGACCATTTCCTTGTCAGGTGTCACCGATGGTGGCATCGTCTTTTTACATCCCTTCGCTTGGATCTACAGGTGCATATGTTGATTCTATTCCTCTGAAAATAAGAACTAGATAAGTGACCATGTTGCTTTTTGGCATAGTGTGTCTTGAAAGTCCGAGTTAATTCCCATCCTTTGCTCTAGCCATTCTTCCGCTCTGGGTCCGTGGTTACCCGTGTTTTCAGCAACGTTGTTCCAGCCTCTATCCAGGTTCTGTTAATGCGGTAGCTCTGTAGGCCCATGCACATCGCCTTGGCAAGCAGAGTAGTGTCTGTGTTCACATGTTTGCTTGTCCAGGACGTGGATGTTCCCGTCCACTCCGTGTGCAGCCTGCGGTTGCCTCTCCTCTGGTCCCTGTGAGCGCTTTTATGCATATATAAATACTACCCCAGGTGAGCTACGATTAGAAAGACAAACCTACTGCAAGACACAAACGTAAGAACTAAAAGCCCACAACTGGAGCCCAGCAGAGATCCGGGCTGATGCACTTCGGATCCGCGCACGTTCCGGTATCTGGCACAGCGCGGATGGCTGACGCCCCTGGGTCAGGGCTGGGTGCGAGGATCAGACTCAGATCTTCGTTTCCAGAAGCAAGGGTCCAGGAGCTCAGGTGGGCCCCCTGCCCTGCCTGGGACTCCTCCCTGGAACACGCGCCCCCCTCTGGCAGGTGCTGGTGAACGGCAGCTTCTTTGTGCAGTACTCGCACCGCGTGCCCTTCCACCGCGTGGACAACATCTCTGTCGTTGGCCCCGTGCAGCTGTCCTACATCAGCTTCCAGGTCAGTCGTCCACCTGGCACCTGGCCCAGGGGCTGGGGTGCAGGGCCCAGCCCAGCTGTGTCTGGGCCCTGTTGGGTGGGCCCAAGGTTACCAGCCAATCTCCTGTGCAGGTGACTTTGGGGACACATCTCCGGTTCCCTGTCCCAGTGTCTGCCTGCCCCTTATCTCCTGGCACTCTGAACTCCTTCTGCGTCTGCCTCTTTTTCCAGAGCACCTGCCTCAGTCTCCCAGACTCCTTGGCCACTCCTTCCTCTGTCCCTCTCGATTTCCTATCTGGTTAGGAGGCCACGTAGTCCCAGAAAGGGCCCAGGCTCAGGATCCAAACCGAACACAGTTCCAATTCCCAGCTCTGCCACTCTCATCGTCTGTGGGATCTTCGATGAGTGACTTCTTCTCCCAGCCTCAGTTTCCTCATCTGTGGAATGAGCACCATCATGGCCATCCCATGGGTGGTTGCGTGGCTCAATGAGATGACAGACATCAGAGGTCACAAAGCAGCACCTCTGGGTACCCCCCCAGGGTTTGTCTGTCCCTCTCTGTGTTTTAAAAATTCTGATGTGTTGCCAACATCTAAAAGGTGAGGGGATGTCAGGTGTAAACCGGGAAGTTTAGGGTGAGCTGGGCCCACATTCCCACAGGGCACCAGGCTGCACCACGTATTGGCATTTGAGTGAGCTCCTTGAGATGAGCAAAGCACACAGTAGGTCCTCAACAAATGAGCTTCTCTACCCGGGGTCCCCATCCCTCCCGCTCCTCCCCTGCCTGACTCTCCCCTGGGGGTTGGAGAAGTGGGGAGAGGAGGGACACTGCCCACCTGCTGGTCCCATGGCTGCCCCTTTCCCCTGCCCACCAGCTCTCTCCCTCCCCCGCAGCCCTGCCTCACGGCTCTTCCCCAGCTCACGAATGCTTCTCTTCACCACCGCTGCCTTTTGTTTTAACAGAACACCCGCGCAGCCCCCGCCCAGCCTGCCTGCTCCATGCCGCAGTTCTCCCAGCCTGTCCGCTTCCCCTACAGGCCCAGGGGAGGCAAACCAAAAGTGAGTTTAACGCAGAGGCCCCAGGTGGCTGAGCACTTAGCAGGAAAGACAGAGGGTCCCGAGGCCCCATCTTGCTCACCCAAGAGTTCCCTGTCTCCATCCACCAGATGTCCAGACCCGGGGACTTGGGAGTCGTTCTGGATCCTTCCCTCCCCCTTCCTATGTCTCTCCCCTGCACCAGCATGTCTTCCCCACCCCAAAGCCTTGGCCTTGGTCCAGGCCACCGAGAGTCCTCACCATGACGACAGCTGTCTCGTTCTCCTAACACCTACCCCACCACAGCGACCTTCCTATAAGCAAATGTGATCACATCATCTCCTCGCTTAAAAATTGGGAGAGCCCAAGCCCTTCTAAACACAGCCCAAATTCCCCAGCAGGACACAGAGTCCCAGTCCGCCTCCCAGCCTCACTCCCCCATGAAGCCCAGGCAGCCTCTGCTGCTCCCTTGAAGCCCCCTTGGCCCACCCCGCTTTGCACGTGCTGACCTCGGTGCCGAAAGCTCCCTTGGCCAGCCTCGCCCCAGCAAAGCCCTAATTGCCCTTCAATGCTCTGCTTAAATGTTGCTCCCCTGGGGAGACTGCTGGATCCTCCCCTCTGTGTCCCCAAGGGCTTTGCACAGTCTGTGCTGTATCAGTCACCACATCCCACTGTAACGCGTTGGCGTGTCTGTCGCCTCATTCCACCCCCATCGTCCCCATGCCCACGAGCCCCTGGAGGGCTGGGATTGTGGCTCGTTCATGTGTACAGTGCCTGGCGCTCGGCAGGGACTCAGTGAAGGAATGTGGGACGTGCTTTGCCCAGCCAGGTAGAATGGGACACCAGCCAGGCGGGAACAGTCTACCGGGCAGGGGCAGCGTCCAGGACAAGAAGGTGCCCAGCTCTTTCCTTAGCCACTCAACAGTGGGCGCTGGGGGTGCCCTATCTACGCATCCGTCCTATGGCCCATCATGGGACTCACAGGGCGCCTGCTCCCTGCCACACTGACTTCAGGGCAGGTCACATTCCAGGGAACCTTTGCAGGGCAGCCCAACTTCAGCCCTGGGCCTGGCCCTGGGGAGGAGAGAGGGGTGGTGGGTACAACCAGACAGGACTGGGTACCCTTTTGGATTCTATCCCTCCTACCCGGGGAGCTTGGGGAAGTTGCTTAAGCTTTCTGAGCCCTGTTGCCTCCCCGGGGAAACAGGAGCTAAGGATGCTTCCCTCGCTGGGAAACACTGGCGCCCAGAGCGTGGCCCACAGTGAGCCTTCAGTGAAGGCTAGTTTTCATCTGATGGACGGAACGTGGCTCTGGGAGTAACGCACTTGGCTCTGGGAGCTGCGGGAAGCAATGTGGTCTCCATTAGACGCGACTCCCTCTCTCTCAGGAGGAGCCAGTGGAGATATCTATCCCCCAACCCCGAGCCCCTGTGCCCCTGGGGGTGAAAATCTGGGTGCCACAGGCTCAGGAAGGCATACTGGGGAGAGGGGGCGGTGAGCTTGTGTGGGAGGCATTTCTCAGCACAAGACCCACCCTGGAGTCCTGCCATCGTCTCCCTCCTGAGCTGCCAACGGTAACCACCATTCTGATTCTTCTCGCCCCTTCCAGCCGCCAGGCATGCGTCCCGCCTACCCGGCCCCCTTCGTAAGTCTCTTGCTCTCTTTTCGTACCTTCTTCATCTTGGTTCTTCCTGTGGGTTAGAAGGAGGAGGGAGGGCCAGGCCTCTCCACCACCCGCCTGGCCCGGGCGGTGATGGAGGGAGGAAGATGGCGGGCGTGGCTGGTGGCCTGATGAAAGGGAAACAACCTGAATCGCCACTTATTTGCTCAAGTCCCTGCCGCTCTGTGGGCCCCACGTTCCACGTCCCTGCTGCAAAGTGAGGCTATGCTGAGAGAAAGTTCCAGGAGAAGATGAGCCAGAAGCCACAAGTGCAGCCATCTTTCTTCACCATCCGACCCCTGGGCCCCTCGAGAGAAGAAACACCCCCACCTGCCCTTCGTGGGGGTCTGGTGGGGCCCTTTGGGTGGTTACAGCTCAAGGTTAACTCACCGCAGAGGGTGCGCGTGACGTGGCGCCCTCTGGTGGCAGGTGGTGGTCTGGGCGCTGAGCGCCGGGTAAGACAGGCTTTCCTTCTTCCAGACTCAGGGTCATCCACAGCAGGCGGCGGGCCCTGGACACATGTTCCCTAGAAGTCTAAAAATGCCGGTCAGCTAACAACCTCACGTTGTTCTTCACCCAAAACTGAATTCCCTAGAGTCCTAGAGTTGGGAAGAAAGAGGGGTGGCAAGGAGGATGGGGACATTTGGGTCTGGGCCCCCAGCTCAGGAAACTCTCTCCTTGGGACGGCGGCAATTCAGGAGCAGGCTGAATTTATCCAGTGGTCCAAGAGGCAGGTCCCCTAGAGACCGGAAGGGACACTGGTCCTTCTGTTACTAAGAGGGGACTGCAGTGGCCCCAGAGCCTGGATATGAGGTTCCTGGGCCTGCACCTGGGGAGCGGCCCCCAGGTCATCACTGCTGCTCATGGCTCAAGCTCTTCTTCTCCCTGTGATGGCACAAATCAGGCAGGGGACCTGGAGTAAGTGCAGCTGCCTGTGGAGGGGGGCAGGGGACCCGGGTGTGGTCCAGGAACACAGCAGGAAGGTCCGGGAAGGCTTAGGTGAGAAGGAAGGTGACCAGGAGAATCCAAGGGCCGAAGCCTCACCACCTGCCTCACATGGGAGCATCCCCTCCAGACTGCGTGGGTGCGTGTGTGTGTGTGTGTGTGTGTGTGCGCGTGTGCGCCGTGTGCGTGTGTGTGCCTGTGCACACGCACGTGCTGCCACAGTGAATATCCTCCTCTCTTTTCGACAGAATCCTAGCATCCCGCCTATGGTGTACCCCAACAAGACCTATGTGAGTGGCTCCTCAGGGAGGGGCGGAGGTTTGCTTGTGCCGGGAAGGTGGGGGGTGACGGGCAGCTTGGGGTGGCCCTCTGGCCTCGCCACAGTAGGAGCAGAGCTCTGGGGAGCTGAAGTCCTGAAAACATTCAAGTAAATTGGAAGAGTGTTGAAAGGAGCTTTCACCCTTGAAACTGTCCCTTGAACCTGAACTCAATTCTGTGGCCTGCCCCTTCACCCCACAATCCTTCTGTGCTTGGCCAAAGTTCCCTTCAGGACGGCTTAAGCCCAGTATCCTGAGGACCACTGGAAGGTTTTCTTCTGGCATTTACTGAACCAAGTAAAGACAGGGTGGGGTTTTTCATGGCTGACCCTCCAGAGGCATGGACACTGGTGCGAAGTCCCCTTCTGCGGTGGCAGCTGCTCCTGCTGCCACAGGCTGACCTGGCCCCTCCCCCCAACAGCCGATGCCTTTCTTCACCTCCATCCCAGGCGGGCTGTACCCGTCCAAGTGCATTGTCCTGTCGGGCACTGTCCTGCCCTGTGCGCAGAGGTAAGTCACGCATTCGGGGGCTCTCTGGGAGGGGAGAAAGCTTCAAGGTCATTCTGGCCATCCCCCTGGCTCTGGGCAGCTTGGGGATGAGGGGGAGGGGCTGGGGTTCAGAGTCCAGTGGGCAGAGAAGGTCCATGGGAGCTGCCCACCCCAGGTTCCACATCAACCTGTGCGCGGGGAGTGACATCGCCTTCCACCTGAACCCCCGTTTCGATGAGAACACCGTGGTCCGGAACACCCAGGTCGATAGCTCTTGGGGGCCCGAGGAGCGAGGCCTGCCCCGACAAATGCCCTTCGCCCGCGGCCAGAGCTTCTTGGTGAGGTGCCACGGCCCAGAGCGCAGAGGGGCTCACAGGCTGCACAAGGAGGGGGTAGAGGAGGTCTGGGGGTACCTGGGCAGGATGGGAGATGATCCCTCTGGGCAAGGGCCTGGAAGAAGAGAACGTGGTCACCAGGTTATTATTATTGTCACTGTCCTGCATGAAGGAGGTGTGCGATCTGCTCTGACATAGGAGGAAACAAACTCACAAGTGCAGGTGACTTGCCTGTGGTCACGCAGCCAGTTAAGTGACAGATCAGACCCCAGAATGAAATGTCGTCCATTGCTTCACTTATTCATTCAACAACCATTTAGGAACCATTTCACTGAGGGCCACGTTGTGCAACACCCCACGTGCTAGGGGTGCGGTCATGGAGCAGACACACAAGGTCCTGCCCCCAGGGCGTTCACGGTTCAGCTGGGGAGGGAGCAAGGAAGCAGAAACATGAGCAGAGCGTTGCAGGTAAGGACAGGTGCCAGGCAGAAAGCCAACAGAAACATGGCGTCATTGTGCACAGGTGTGGCCTGTGCAGGGACAGTGAGGTCAGGGCCTACAGGGTAAAGACTGAGGCCCAGAGGGGAGTGGGGAGCAGCTGCAGACCCAGACCACACAGAGCTGGCTTTCTCCACCCACAGAGCTGGCAAAAGAGAAATCGGGGCCCCGTTCCTGGCCAATGAGGCCGTGAGGCTGGGTGTCCGTGTTTTTAAGTTGTGCATTAAGTGATTGTACTCTGCAAGCCGGGTTGAAAATGACTGGAGTAGGGCTTCGTAGGCCATGAAAAGGAGTTCAATTTTAATACAATGCAAAGCCACTGGAGTGTTTCAAGCCGGGGAACAGTATAGTCTGATTTATAGATAGCTGTGTGACCTCGGGCAAGTGACTTAACCACTCTGTGCTTCGGTGTCCTCATCTACAAAATGGAGCTAATAATAATAGGGATCTCACAGAGTTGTAAGAATGGAATGAGGCAGTATCCGTACCGTGCTCAGGACAGTGCCCAGCGCACAGTGTGCTGCAAGTGGCAGCTATTGCCATGGGGATTGCGTCTTCCCCCGTGTCCCGGGCTGCCTCATGGGAATGCGCTGGGGTGGGAAAGACGGGCGGGGAGCCCTCCCGCGAGCTGGGTACTGGGATGCACGTGCACCCGCTAGCGTGCCTGGCGGCTCAGGGGCCAGTTGCAGAGTGCGGCTGTGGGTGGGAAAATGGCCTGAAGGGGCAGCTGACGTGACTAGGAGGGGTCAGGAGGTAGGGAAGGTGTGCGGGTGGGATGCACGGGGGAACAGCATTCTAGGCAGGGGAACGGCACGTGTGAAAGCTCAGGGGAGGAGTGCACAGGGCATGTTTGCTGAAGAGCTCATCAGTCCCCGGGACTGGAAGGCAGACCCGGGGCTTCTTAATGCTCGAGGAAGGAGCGGGGGACACGAGGCTGCATTTTGGGTTGAGGATTTTCTAGTGTAGTGCAAATGACATGGCCTCTTTGCCCAGGTGTGTATCATGTGTGAAAGCTACTGCTTCAAGGTGGCCGTGGATGGCCAGCACCTGTTTGACTACTGCCACAACCTGAAGAACCTGCCGGCCATCGACAGACTGGAAGTGGGGGGTGATGTGCAGCTGGCACACGTGCAGGTGTAGGGACGAGGGCCGGGGCGAGTCGCTGCCTGAGTCTCCCCAGCACGTCCACTTCCCCGCCCCGGCCTCGCCCTCTCCGCCGTGCCCAGGCCTGGGCCGTCCAGCAGAGGCGTGTCCTTGTCTGCCTGCTCCTGGCTGCAGCCAGCCTGGCGGGGAGAAGGCAGCTGGCTGGGACGGTCCCGCTTGGCCGGGGCAGAACCTGGGGCTCCGGCTGTCCTGATCCTGCCATCTGAGGACAGGGGTGTAGGGGGAAGTGGGGTGCAGCCCCATGTTCAGTCCCCTGGGCAGAGTCAGGGTCCTGAGCCTTCCCAAGCCCCAAGCCTGGGCCTACACCCCGTCTGGCTCTCAACCACCTGCCTGTCCCCCATGCAACTCTACCCAGTCCTACGCCACCAGCTGTCCACTCCTGACCTCTTCTGCCCCTTCCCTTCCGGTGACCTTTAACCTCACTCTCCTGCTTTGTACCAGCCCTTCACCCCCTGCAGGAAAGCTACCCTGATGACATCCCACTGGCCCCCACCAACTGACCAGTACTTCTCATCAGGGGGCTCTCTTTTGCCTCGTCATCCTTCCGATAAAGAAATAAAAATGCTGTTGTTACACACAAGTGGGATGGCTCTGGCTTATTAAATTCATTTGGAGACATTTTGGATTCTCTGGGATTGGAGGGCAGCCAAGCGGCGTGGGAGGAGTGGGCTCCCTTTGCGCAGGGGGGTCCTGACATGCACACCTAGTCCCAGTGGGTCCCGCACAAATCCCACAAGGGTGTGGGAGAAAGCAGGTTGGGGCTCAGGCCCAGTGGGCAGGAGTGTCTGACTGCAACAGAGGCAATGGCCTGGGGGAAAAGGGGAACAATGTTTTCTGTCTTTTTAAAACCTCCTCCACTCTTTTTGGGAATTGAAACCTCCATCCCTGCCTCAGGCCAGTGGTCAGGAGGGGTACAGGAGTGTCCTTTGTTCTTTGTACCATAGGTGACCGTTCAAGGGAATTGTCCAGGCAGAGGTCCGGGAGGTCAAGGTGGGTGGTCGTCATGATATTGTCTTCACTGGAGATGGGATGGATCAGAATCATCGACTATAGTTCAGCAATAACCCGAAGCTGAAATCACTCCCTTTAAAAGCTCTGCATTTCTGCTTAAGATTAGGACAATGGCAGTTTAAGACAGGAGTCTCGATCCTCCTGCTTTGCCAGCAAGTTAATAAACTCCTCTTTCCTTTTCCTCAATCACTTGTCCTCGTTCTTCTGACGTGGCCTCGGGGACAAGTGCCAAGCTTTCAGTAGCATATTTGGCATCCCTGTGTGGGCCCGTTGGCTCCCCGGTAGAGGACACCCTGCCACTGCTGGAAGAGGCAGGGAGCAGCCCCGGGTCAAGCCACAGGCAGGAGCATCACCTTTTTGGGTAAGAAAGTAAGGAATTACCCAGCAGCTGCCGGGGCCTGTTTAGCTCTGGAGAAGTCTTGTATCTTTCTCCCAGAATGGACGCAGCTCCAACCAACCTGAGCTTAGTTGAGGAGAAGGGGATGGATTTGGAAAGTGTCTGGACAGCCCCAGCCGTTTCAGTAAGTTCCCGAGCATGCATGCCGAGACCCTGATTCCACCCATTTGGGAGGATTTCAGACCTTCCTGTTGGATTTGTTTGGAGGTGCCACTGGGGTACAAGTCACAAGGCTGAGTGGAACTAGGGAAGATGGCTTGGACGCGGACCACCCGTGTGGTTCCCAGGGAACCTGGGGTGGGTGGGAGATGTTGGTTCTCGCTCGAGAGGATTCGGTTCTCATTTGTCCCCTTTTAGGAGATGTTGGTTCTCAATTGAGGACTCAGTTTTTGTTGCTGGTTCCCATCTAACAGGCCTCGGCATTTTTGTGTTGAGAATTCCTGGCAGTTTCTATGTTTGTCATTTGTGAATTTGTTCTAACATGGGTGGCTCCGTTTCTGTTCCACCTGAAAGTCCTTTCAGAGAAATCTTGGGTGAATGGCCAAATTTATAGCTCCAAGCCTATGTTTAAAGGAGAACGGTGTTATTGTAATCCAGTGTGCGTGCTGGAGTGTGAGGAGAAGTAGCCGTTGAATGAAACCTTGAATTACTATCGTGTCTTACAACTGGAATTACTTTGTCAAAGGTGAGGTAAATGGGACAAGATCCCATATGTAGAATCTTAGAGGCCTGGGATACAGTTAATGGTACAAGACACATCTCTGCTGGTGATGGATAGTCGCAATACTTTGTTTCACTTAAACAATAGGACCCCCTGGTCTGCACCAGTTCTGGGCCAGCCGCAGGGCATGAGAACTGCAGCCCGGAGGCTGGGCTTGGTGGAAAGGGAGCACCCACCACCCGACTGACCCCACCGTGGGTGCACACACGACACGGCGGGGAGATGCTGGCGCCCACCACAGTTGCGGTGACCCACTGGAACTCACAGGCCTGACCGCACTCAAGCTGGCACTGGTGAGGCCCTTGCCGGAGCCCCACTTAGGAAAGCGATGCCTTCCCTCAGCCACGCAGTTCCCAGCCTGGGGCAATCGCTGCCACCGCCATGTTGGTGCCCTGAGAGGGGTGGGGCAGAGGGCACGACTGGAACTAATTCTCCAGTCCCACGCCCACTGGGTCATGACTCGGGGGTGGAACAGTCCCTCTTTCTCAACAATTTGGCCAGAGGGCACCCATAGCCGGAATAGGGCAATTTGTGTGCAGTGTGATTTTTGTAAAAAAGAAGGACATTGGAAAGAGCATTGCCCCCAAATTGCAAAGGATCCCAGGTAGCAAGAAAGCCCCAGGATGGAGAGCAAAAATTTTGTTTCCGTATAGGACTGAGATGAGGAGGAAGGGGCCCGATTCCCCTGCCTCACTGGTGGTTCCAATCCACATATCCCCCAGCCGCACAGCCGAGCTGCCGAAGGCCGGGGCGAAGAGGGAGGAGACCTGGAAGCTAACGGAGGCGGACAGGCTCAGACAGGTTGCCGCCTTGGCTTCTAATTATTGGCTCAGTCTCTGGACTGACATTGTCAACAGGACCCAGGAGCACACTAAAGCCTGTCTGAGTGTCCTCGGAGCCCTGGACATTCCACCAGAGTGACAATGGACCCTCCTTTGTAGTGGAGGTAACACAGCCGGTAAGCAAAGCCCTACACCTGGAACGGAACGTGCACGCATCCTGGAATCTATGCGGGAAATCCAACTGGAGTGGGGTAGGGTGTTGCCACTCATCCTGCTCTGGATAGAGGTGCCTCTAGAAGCAGGCTTGAGTTAAGCCCCTAAGAAATAGTTTATGAGAGACCCTTTCTAGCACCCCAAGGGAAGTATGGTCATATAAGCATGACTAAGTATAACACAGTAAAGCAATATGTCACACGAGTGGGTCGGATACTAACCATTATGCATGCGTCGGCCTCTTTCAGGTCCCCACCCCAGGTGGAAGCGGAGAAGTGGAAGGGACCCTTTGAAGTGTCTCTAACAACTCACACCTTGTAGAAATCGTCAGGAGTAAAAACCTTGGGTCCATCATACGAGAGTAAAGAGGTGCCCCATGGAAGAAGAGGACCCAAGCCGTAAGTGGAGGGGCCAGCCTCTACACAATCTAAAGTACCTGCTTAAGGAAAAGGGAAAAATGAAAATGTTGGTATTTTCGCTAATCTTTCTTTGGTTATTTGCTCTGTCTGTAGGACAGAGGGACAACTCCTTAGTGAGGACTTCCCTGGGCTATCGCCTCTTCTGTTGATCTGTCTCGCTGCTGGGTTTGTCCTTCTAACCCTCGTCTGGTGCAAGTATTTACATGATTTGTGAATTTGCAGAAGCCGGTCTCTTGGATCACCTACCGTGTCCAACTAATAGCTCCACATTCAGAGGTCCCACGTTTGTTTCTTACGCAGCCCCGTGGTGGACATTATGTGCAAGGCGACAGGAAGGACCCACAGTCCCACTGGTGTCTTAGGTCCCAAGTGGGGTAAAAGCTCTCTTACCAGGTATGCTCCATGTCATCTTGTCACTCCTCACGGTTGTGGTTGTTGCTTACGCCCTTGTTCGTCTGGTAATCTGTTGCTGTGACTCTACTGCCAAAGCTTTGTAACGACATAAGTAAGTAGGAGCCTTCCCTCTAAACCATCACCCCAGTTCAGCAGGAAGTAGCTCGATGACTACGTCGCCCCTCCTCCCAAAGATATGGAAGGGTCAAATTGACAGTGGGGAATATGTAATACAGGAAATGGCCTAAAACAAAAAAGGTAAAATTGTTTTATGTCTTTTTAAAAAGTCCCCCACTCTTTATGGGAACCGAAACCTGCATCCCTGCCTCTGGCCAGTGGTCGGGAGGGGCAGGGGAGTGTCCTTTGTTCTTTGTACCATAGGAAATGGAGCAACAGAATTTTCTGGGTGAGGTGTGGGACGGTGGAGGTCATGAGATTGTGTTCGTCCGGAGATGGAACAGATCAGAATCTTCCACTGTAGTTCAGCAACAGCCTAAAGCTGAAAACCTTCCCTTTAAAAGCTCTGTATTTCTGCTTATATTGTGACAATGGCACTTTAAGAAAGGAGTCTCCATCCTCATCATTGGCCAGCAAATTAAAAAAACTCCTGTTTCCTTTTCCTATCCACTTGTCCTCGTTCTTCTGATGTGGCCTTGGAGACAGGTGCCAAGCTTTTGGTAATGTGAGGCAGGAAATTTTGTATCTGGGTGAACCCAGGAAAGAGCCTGTTGCTTCTGAGATGGGAGAAGGGTGGGACAGAGCTGTGAGGCTGTGGCAGGGCCAGGAAGCCAGACGCAGTTTCATCAGAACCCTGCGTCCCAGGAGGGAGAGGTGGCAGGTGGGGCCGGGAGCAGCTGATCGGAAGCCAGGTCTGATTGTGCTGTTCTGCCCTGGGTCTGCCCGGCATTAGGGGTTAGGGGTTGCACAGGAAAATTGGATTAGCGGGTGGGGTCTGCCAGCCCCTGGGCCAGTGCAGGGGAGCCCAGCTCCGTGTCCACCTGACGCCCACACATCCTGCGGACTCCATCAAGAATCTGGTCCCTCGGGAACCAGGGTGGGTGGGGCTCAAAGTGCGGTCTTTAGCCCAGCAACGTCAGTGTCACCTGGGACCTCGTTAGACATGCAGGCTCTCCTGCCCCAGACCTGTTACATCAGAGTCTGCATTTTAATAAGATCCGGGGTGACTCGTGGGCGCATTGGAGTGTGAGAAGCCCTGGCTAAGGTGAGCGGATTCTTGGCCGCATTGTTCAGATGCATCAGTGTCTGGCGCTCAGGGCTCGGAGCCTGAGCCCCTGGTCCCGGGGGCAGGTCTTAGGACAAGCACAAAACTCCATCTGCTGCCAGAGTACCTGGCAGGCACTTCACAGAAGCAGCCATGGCCTGGATGGGATGTTCTTCCGTGGGGACCTTTGTCCAGCCTGTGGCACCACCTGCCCCTCCCCCAGTATAAGTAACTGAGGGCCACTTTCCCTACGAAAAACACTCACACACACACATACAGTGTGATTAAAATAAAATGTATTTCTTATAAATATTGCCATCAAGGAATCATACAGGGAAGGCCCAAGTGGCCCTTGGGAGCAGATTCGGGGGTATTTATTTAAATACAGAGGCATAAATAACTGTACACCGACGGTTAAATACAGAGTGGCTGCCAGAGCCTCCTGGTGGTCATTCAGAGTGGTGCAATCGGCAGAAGGTCCCATCTTTTTCTCAGCCGCTTGCCAGGCCTGGCACTGCGGATTTCGTCTCCAAGGGACCAGGGAGGGCCCAGCTCGGGAGAGGAGGCTCCAATCCATCCAGGGTGCTACTTGGTAGCAGGTCAAGTAAAGGGCTTGGTGGGGAAGGAGGTGAAGAAATAAGATGCGAGCCTTGGGGGTATCACGGCCTTCCGTCTCCCCAGGCCCCGTGACGTCAGATAATCCAGAGTCGACTCCATCATCACATTCTGTGTCAGCAGCTGTAACCTGTCCCGCGGGCCGTCAGAGCATCGAGATCTCCAGGTGGCCTGGCTGCTCCGCTGCCCTGTCCTTTTTCATCTCATAAGGAAATACAGCACCGAAGATATCTTCATGGTAGCGCTTCTGGTTCTTTAAGGGGAAACAGAGAACAATGTGTCAGCTCTGCCGGTCCAGCGCCTCCGACACCAAGCCCAGGCTGGGACACAGACATTCACGAGCCAACTGTCCTGCTTAGATGATGCTGGAATTTGGTTTAGACTTTAGCCTCCTCAGGACCTGCTCTCCTGTGGGCCATCTAACACCTCCCCAAGCTGTACGGAAGGCTGGTGTTCCCGTTTCCTGCCCAGCGCTCACCCACAACATGCTCCAGGAATGTGAGCTCTGACATCCACACTTTTGGGAAATGCTACGTACTTTCTTTTCTCCCAGTCTTGAAGTGTCACCATGCACGGTAGCATGTTAAAAGCTCTGAGAAGTCTTGTAGAAAAGCAATGCTTTTGCCTTGGTCTAACTGAGCATGTCCCAAGCTATTTGACCTTGGAACCATTTCAATGCCAAATATCTATGGACCTGATGAACATATTTTGGGAAACGCCTGTGATCTCCTTATTCTTCAAACTCACCGAACTAACTCCCACCCCAGGACCATTGAACATGCTGCTCCTTCCAGAACAGCCCAGAAGTCTGTTTTCTTCAACCACAGGGTTTCCTCCTCACCTCCCAGAGGTCTTTTCTCAAATGTCACCTTCCCGTGACACCTTCCCTGGCCATCCTATTTAAAATTGCACTCCCAACTCTCCCTGGGCTGCTTCCCTGCCTCATTTTCCTCCAAAGCACTACACGTTTTCCTCATGTGCTTTTGCCGGCCTCGGTGCAAAGGAAGCTCCATCCAGGCAGGACTTTTCACCTCTTTTGTTTACTGCTCTATCCTCAGCACATAGTAGCTGCTCAATAAAGGCTTTGCAGACAGAGAGAGGCAGACTGAACTCTGTGCTCTCACACTGTCCCGGACCCCTCAGGTCTCCCTTCCCTCTGTACAATAGGGGTGATAATAGTGCTTCTCTCCGAAAGTGCTTGCAAGGCCTGCAGGAAATGCCACATGAACATTCTGGGCAAGCACCTCGCCCAGGGTTAGCCCCTGGTAAATGTCACTACTAGTATCATCACTAAAATGTGAGTCCTTCCTGCAGGTGGGGACGAGGGTGAGCAGACGCCAACCTAGGTGTAGGTAACAAGTGTGAAGTTCGCACAAGGCTGACGGGGGCACAGCCTTCCTGTCCCCAGTGTTCACAGCCCTGCCTCAGCTGAAGAGAGGCCAGGGAGACGCTCCTGCTACATGCCACAGATGGAAAACCAGACATGTCCGCTGACTTGTGAGAGCTAGCTCCACCCAGTCTGGGATGTGCGGCAAGGCCTTCTAGCAGCCCATCCTGCTCAGACCTCAGCCACTTCTGGGGTTCTGCTGGGGTCCAGGACTGTCCTGGGCCTGACTCCCCGGGTCCTGCCCGCCGTCCTGGCTCCCGTGGCCTGTGCCCTTGGCCCACACCTCGGCCCACACACCTTGAGCTGGAAGAAATAGTCCTCCACCTGCTCTTCGCTCAGGCTCAGCTTGGAGGCCACCAGCTGCCTCAGGGTGCAGGCCACATCCCGGGCCATGCGCACGTCCCCACAGACATAGAGGTGGCCTCGCTTCTCATGCAGCACGCGGAGCACCTCGCCGGCCAGCTGCTGCCGTAGGATGTCTTGAACATACACCTAAAAGCAGAAGAAAGGGCGGCTCCAGTCCCAGCTGCTGGGAGAGGCTGGCATGCAGGCCCGCAGGCCCCAGGGGGCAGGGAGGGGCCATTGAGGCTGCAGAGTGGGCCCCTCCCAGCCAGGACTTTGCTTGGGGCACAGGATTTTTGCATCCAGCTCAGGGTCAGGACATGCACAGATGCCTGGGGGCTGAGCTGGGATGAGAGAGACGAATGTGGGACACAGTCCTGCCCTCAAGGGGCTGACTGCCCGGCGGGGCTCCCAGGTTGTCGCCCAATTCACCATGCTTCCACGGCACATCCAGCAAGCCAGTTCCCCACAATCAGGGCTCTGCCTACACCCCAGAAAAGGGAGCCTCCCAGTGCAGACTGTCCCTCAGGTCTCTGCTGTAACTCAGGGCAGGAGCACAGATCCCAGCCTCCCCAGTTAGACAGAAGGTCCCGGAGTGCATCAAGGACTCTGTGCTCTTGCTCAGGGGCCCCAGCACCGGCACAGAGCACTGGGTCCGAGAGGAGCCCCGATGGCACACGTTTGTGAGGGCCGAGAGTCTATATTGACACCCCAGGCTCATGGGGCAGGCAGTCCTGGGGCAGCAGAGCCCGTCTGAAGGCCGTGGTGGGAGCAGCGGCCTCGCTGGGCTGGGGTGCAGAGCCAGCCTGCAGCACCTCTCCTAGGGCAGTCGTGTGTCGCAGGGCCCGCTGGGCACCTCCAGCAGCCGGGCGCAGGGGATTAACCCGCGGTGGGAACCTGGGTCAGTCCCGAACCTCTCCTCTGCTGGCAGAGAGGACGTATGCGCTTCACAGCGTCACTCTGATGGTTGTAGAATGGTCCCCATTTTAGAGCTGAGAAGCTGGAGCTCAGAGAGGTGAGGGCTCCTGGGGATCCGGGGCACAAACCCCGGTGGCGGTGGCGTGTGTGTTTAACGCGCCACCTGCTGTGAGGCCGCGTTTACCTTTGGCTTGCCAGGCAGGCGAGAATAGGCGGTGTGCACCCCATGCAGCACCCCCTTCCGGGCCATCTCCATCATCTCCTCCTGATACAGGTGGTCCTCGTCTGGGCGGCGGCACCCAAATACCAGGGTCATGCGGCCGCCTCGGAGCCCTGCAAGACGCAACAGGCTGCAGTTACCGTGGTGGCCACTAGAGGGCGGCCACGCCTCAAGGCCCAACTCCAATTCTCATTTTGTTCCCACAAATATCCTATCTAGCGTTATCCCCATTTTACAGATGAGGAAACTGAGGCCCGGGGCATTCAGATCACTCGTCCATAGCCACACACCTGGCAGTGCAGATACAGGATCCCCGTCCTAGAGGTGACTTTTCCATAACCCACTGCCCAGACCAGAAGCCCTGGCTCCAATGTGGGAGACACGGGCAGACAGCAATTCTACCCCTATGGAGGCCTGCACAGGCCGGGACCAGCTTGGGAGGCCTTCCCTGGAGAGGTCCAGGCAACGTTTGTGGGCCTGCAGTTCTACTCCTAGGCAGGCGCTGGCCACCTGGTGTCCCCTCCCCCCCCGGACCCCGCGAGCCGTACCTTTGTGCTCAGAGTCATGGAGCCGCTGGTGCCAGAAACTGCGGAAGGGGGCGATGCCTGTGCCAGGCCCAATGAGGATGCAAGGTAGGGAGGGGTCCTCGGGGAGATGGAAGCCGCTGGCACTGAACGGGACAGAGGAGAGAGGCCCAGTCCTCAAACACCCTGGGCCAGACACAGGCGTAGGACAGGGGCTGGGGAGCTGGCGTGTGGTGGGGCTGGGGTGGGGGGCAGCTCATATTTCATCTCCCAAGTCCCGAGACCGCTTCATTTCCTCCGTCCAGGCACACCATCCCCTCCCCCTGGGGTCCTTCTGGAAAAGGGCTGAGCTCATTGTACTCTGGACCCCACAGGCACTGCTGTCACCGCTACCCCTGCTAGCGGCTCAGCCACGCTCTGCAGCCAGTGCATGGAATGGGCCCATGGCCCAAGGCCTTCTTTATAGACCAAGGGTCACCTAAACCCCAGATCCCTCCCTTCCATCCAGAACACCTGGGGTCGGAGGTCCCACAGCGGACAGAGTGGAGGGGGTGTTTACCTTCGCACAAAGCAGGGCACTGGGTCTCGGGGCTTCAGGTTGCTGAGCCATGTGCTGCAGACGCCGTGGTGCAGGGGGCCCTGGCCATCTGCAACGACAGCACGGACCTGACCAACGGTCCCCCCACTGCCCACGCGCCACCTGTACCAGCTGCTCCACCCACACCGAGGCGCCTCCTTGGACTGCCCGGCTCAGGTACTGTCAGGGCTTAATGAGGGCCTGTTGCCCTCCCGGTTCTGAGATGCAGGCTCTGTGAGCCCAGAGAGGGGGGAGACTGACAGGGGCTGGGAGGCTGCAAGCCGCTCCTTTTGCCAATGCAGAAACCGAGTGCGGAGAGGGAAAGTGACTTGCATGAGGCCACTAGGGGGGTGGCGGAATCAGCGAATCGCTCATGTTCCCTGACTCCGTCTCCAGTGCTCCTTCCAATAGCGCCCTTCCAGGGCCCTTCCAGGCCACACTTAGCTCTACAGACAGCAGCACAAAGTCACCCTCGGGGGTGGCTACTGCTGTGTGTCCTCCTGAGCGTAGCTCTGGCTGGTAGGAACCCTGGGTGCAGGATGACCTCCAAACACTCCGGCCTGCTCTGACACCTCACTTCCTTCCCCAGTGGCCCCTCCTGGGCCTGGAGAAACCCAGCTTTCTAGGGGTTGCATTCCCTTCACGATGGCCCAGCATTTGAAGGAGGCCTCCAACCAGCTGGAGAAGTCCCCTTGGTTTTCCTCTGGATTGAATCTCAGTCTCACAGGGCACCCTGTGTCCTCTCCCGGGCTGTGAGGGTGTTCTCTAGCAGGGCGAACGGGCTCTGCGTTAGAACCTGCGTGATTGTGCTTCGCAGAGGACGGAGGGCTCTGAGGCGTGGGCAGCTCCCAGCTTTGCCTACCCAGGCAATGCTCAGTTACGCAGGGCAGTGCAGGGGGCAGAGTTGGTCCAGCGGAGGGGACAAGACCACCTGGATGAGTTCTTGGCCCCCCCAGTCTATGGCAGCCTCACCCCCCATTCTCTGCCCTCAGTGACCCTGCGCTTTCCCTCTTGGCACCTACGCAGTGAGAATCACCTCATTATTTCTATGTCTCTCTCTTCGTTGCCCTTCTAGATGGTCCGTGAGGGCAGGGGCCATGTCTGCTGTATTTCCACAGCCATCACGGGGCCAAGCGTGGAGAGGTGTGAAGTGACCCATCAGGGAATGAACGGCCAGTGCAGGACCGTCCCGGAATCCAGGCTGCCCTTGAGCAAGGTTAGGAATCACCGGGCTCCCGCTACAGGGTGGCTGCTCTCCATGTGTGATGGCATTAAACTGTCCCAACAGTGGAAGGACAGCAGAGTGGTGGACGTGGACTCAGCACTTAGACTACCCGGGTTTGAATCCCAGCTCCCCATTCACTAACAGTGTGACCTTGAACAAGTGGCTTAACCTCTGCATGCCTCGGTTTCCTCATCTGTACAATGCACACAGAACCTATCCCACATGGTGACCAGTAACACACATACAAAGGGGTTTGCTGAGTGCCTGGTTCATAGGAGTCTCTGCCACACACCTCCTGTTATTGTCGACAACTCTGGGAGGCGGGTGTTCCTATCTTGGTTAACTGGTGAGGGGACGGAAGCCCAGAGACGCTGAGCAGCTGCCCGGTAAATAGTAAATAATCGGGCCACTCCAGAGCCCCTGCTCACCTCGGGTGCGGTACGTGACCACGGCCACGGTGAGGTGGACCTCCATGGGGGTGTGGTCCCGGGAGGAGCTGATGGAGTAGTACCGGGGCTTCAGAGTGGGGAGCTGGGACAGCAGGAAGGCAGCTGACACCCGCAGGGACGGGAACTCCTCCAGCACCTCCAGGAACGTGGGGCTGTTGGTGAACTTCCACTTGCTGTACTCTGAGGGCTGGAAGCCAAGGGCGGTGTGAGAGACGGAGGGTGCCTGCCCCACTTCGGGTGAAGGGCTGTCGCAACCCAGTATCCATTCATTCGTTCATCACGGAACGTGGTGCTGTCCCCGGCGCTGTCCAGGGTGCTGAGATACTAAGCCCTGAGGAAATAGTTCCTGTCCTGGAGGAACTCAGTCCACTGGGTGGCATTTATCTAACTCGTATGCTTAGACCTCCACCCTCACTAGCTCATGAATGGGGGTCGCATCTTTACTATAATCTTATTTGGGCCAAGACTTTGGAACCAATCCGACCTGTACTCAAATCTTGTGGCCAGAGATGCTCTTACTAGCTGTGGCATCTTGTCCTAATTATTGATGGTAATACCTATCACCTACCTCCTGGGGATGTTGTCAGAATTAAACGAGAAAATGTGTGCCAAATTAGTATAGTGCGGAGACAGAATAACGGTAGTGGAGGCGGTTGGAATCGAGATGATTAGTGGTAATGATCATAATAACGACATTCACTGCCTTTTGCTAAGACGTGAGCCCAGAAAGTTGCAGTTGAGTTAATGCATTCTCTCATTAACTTACTAATTCTACTACCCATCTGTCACTAGAGCCATTTGTCAACTCACCCACACCATCCACCCTCTAATACTTCTTAAGTGCCAAGCTTGTTCCAGGTTTGAGGGATACAAAGGCAGACTAGACACTGTGGCTCCCCTTTCCAGCTAATTTCCAAGGTAGTGAGCTTTGGCTGCATCCTGCAGACGCTCAGAAAATTTCAGCTCACTCAACACAACTGTGTCCTGGACACCTGGACACGGGACAGTAGAGGACGCCTGACTTCCCAGCATTCTTTCACAAGTCTCGCTCCGGGAACCTGCGTTGGATGCCCTTTCGCTAAGGACTAGCTCTGGGCTCCGGCTGCCCCCACGCTGGAACCTCCCGCTGCCTCACCCACCGTCCCTGACCCTCACCTGGCACAGGGTCTCCAGCCTCTGTCTCTCGGCCTCTTCCGTGGCCAGCTGGGCCAGCTTTTGGAGCAGCAGCTGGGTTGGGGGAGTGGTGATGTCCAGAAAGTAGGTGAGGGCCTGGCGGAGTGAGCAGGACGGCAGCCTCTTGTCACTGACCCAGTAGCTGCCTGGATAAGGGAAGGAAGGTGTCAGGATGGAAAAGAGGCCCCCTTTGGGCTTCTCAGAGGGCGATGAGGCCTCTGGGGTGACACGCTCTATCCTCCAGCTGCAGGGAGAGAAGACACTGCAGTTCTGGCTCCAGGAAGAGCAAAAAGCAGGAAGAAGGTCATGCGCAGGGACAGGGCTGCCAGGGAAGGCTGATCAGCTGCCCTCCAGTGGGCACCCCATGACATGATCCTGAAAAACTAACCATGTCTCTCTCTGGCCCAGACATGAACTGCAGCAAGACATCCACCAGTGAACTACAGACTCACAATGACTAAATCCACCAAAGACTGATGTACCCCTCAGAGGCCAGTTGTTCAAATAGAGACAAGCCCAGGACTGCAGTGCCCTGAGGTGCTAGACCAAGAGCTGCTGGGTGAGCAGAAGATCAGCCCAGAGTGAAGTGGAAAGTCTCAAGGAGTCCCAAGTGGCAGCAGCACACAGGGCCGTCACAGCACGGGCCCTGGAGCCAGCACGCAGGGGTCCAAACTACTAGCTGGGTGACAACGCTCTGGGCCTTGGGTTCCCTCCCTGTGAAATGGATATAAGAAACCCTCTTTGCTGGGTTCCTATGAGCACTGATGAAACAAAGCACCTAAAATGGTTGGTATTGTGCCTGGTGCTCAGGTGCTCCACAACTGTTAGGCCAAAGTATTATTAATATGTTATTTCTTCTGGATCAGAGACCTGGTGATGAAGTGCATCTCTCTTCCTATAGTCACAAGGACATCGTCCCTTGTCCCCATGGTTTAGGCTCTGTCACTTTCTCCTGCACAGTGGGGGACATTGCCAGACATTGCTTCTCTGACTCTCACTTTCTGACCTGGCCGCTGTATTTAGGGGGACACACTGTTTGGTGGTGTCACTATCACTGGGGAAACGCAGCCCAGGGAGCGAACCTGTGGGCTGAGGCTGTCCTCAAGGCTGCTTTAACATGGGCTTTGGCGCCCATCCACCCACCCACTCGGCAGGGAGGACCGGGCTAGCTGTCGGGGGCAGGCCCGGCCCAGCCCCTCAGCAGGGGTGGGGGGGGCATGCTGGGCCCCCTCGGTCCCCAGGCAGAGGGCTCACCGCTCTCGTTCAGGGTCTCCAGGCGCACGGTCTGGTGGGGCGCGGGGCCGTCCACCACTCGCTGCAAGATGCCCTGGACCAGGGCCGGCTGGTTGCCTGGGAAAACCCCCAGGTGCTCCCCGGGCAGGTAGTTCAGGCCTCCGCTGTCCTCACAGGAGAGCTCCACCAGGAGGGTCGTGCGGCTGGGGAAGGGCAAGAGAAGGCTCGGGTGATGCCACGGCATTTCCTCAGAGCCGCCTGCCGGGCGCGCCAGTTTCCCCAGTGCCACGAGCCTGGGTCACCCGCCTAAGCTTGGGACAAGGCATCCCCTCAGGCAGGGGTGCTCAAGAGGGCCCCTGTAGCTTCCTTCCGGGGGAGAAGCTGGGACCCTCCCGAGAAGCCCGCTGAGCCCCCGAGGGCTTGGCCACAGACTCTGCCCAGGGAGACGTGTGGGCATCGGAAGACACCTTTCCTCCTCCCCAGCACGAACCCTGTTCTTGCTGGAACAAAGACCAGTTTCCGTGATGAATGGGGGAGGACGGCTCCGACACACAACACCCACAGATCACACACAACGCTTGGTCACCCCGGCTGGCAAATTTCCTTCCCTGCCGAAACTTTTCCTGAAAGTTCTTAAGAAAGATTCAAACGGCTCGAGTCTCTCTTGCCCTCCCCTTTTAGCGAAGGAGTTGAGTGAGGAAGGAGAGGAAGTGACACAGGTCCCCAGTTCCCAGCTGGAAAAGTGGCCCATGGTTAACCAAGCCCAGACGTAAAGGCACAGGTGGCCGTGCATTAGCAGACGCGAGCTGGTCCTACCAAGGCCGTGGCTGCTAACGCCAGCAGACGCTCCTCACGTCCCCCTCCAAAGACTGACGTTTTCTGGTCTTTCACTCACTGAGACAGAGGCTACAGGGAACCCCGAGAAGCCCTGCCCTCTCCCTCACCTGGATTTCGGACTCTGTAGATTCTGCTGAGATTTGAGCCTCAAGGTGAACACGTTCTTGGCGTGCATGCTGCCGAGGGCTGTGGGGGACACAGACAGTGAAGTGGCCACGCAGCTCTTGAGCTTTGGTGAAGAAGCCCCCAGATCTCTGCGTCAATGACACCTGGACATCACCCTTGGTGGGCCCGACTGGGTGGCTATTGGGGTGTTCTTTCCCTCCTTTCCCCTACTGTTTCTAAATCACAGAGGGTGGTTGTCTTGCTTCTGGGTGCTGGGAAATTCAATTTAGCTACCAAATATGGAAAGTCCCAGAACATCCCATGGCCTGGGGTCCACAGGAGGGCATAGTGAAGCCGGGATGTCTCAAACCTGCAGGGACCTGCGGGACTGCTGTAGTCATGGTACAAGGCACAGCACCCAGTGGGCAGAGTCCGGAGCTGCCAACTACAGCCTGGAAATGCCTGTGACACCTTCTTCACAGCACTCGGCTGCCTTCACTGCTGCAAGGCTGGGGCCCAGATCCCAACCTGGCCACATGCTAGCAACTTCCTTCACCCCCCTAGCTTCAATTTCTCCGTCTGTGCCTTTCTCCCCATCAGTGTCAGGGCTTACTTAGAACATGTGGGCAAAGAGCCCAGTACAGTGCCTGGCACACAGTAGGCCCTCAGCCGATGCTGGCTCCCTCCTCTCTGCACCACCCTCCCAGGACTTTCTCCTGAAACAGCCTCCCTCAGAGCCTCAGTCTCCCCTGTAGGCTCATGGATGCAGCGAGAGAGGGGCTTGGCAGCCCCAGCCAGCTGTTTCTGTGCAGGGTGACCTGGTGGTCTCCTTGACCCCAGGCTCAGGGCTCGGAGACCCCAACCCAGGCAGGAAGGGCAAACAAGCCCCAGCTGGTGCGGAGAAGCAGGTACCTTTGTTGAGGTCCAAAGGCTGTGAGTCCTGCACCAGCCTGTAGTGGTGCGGGTCCCAGGTCACATTGGAGGTGTAGAGCTTGGGGATCTGAATGTGGTGCTTGCCTCGGACATCAAACGTCTCACAGGCTGCCTGGAAGCAGATGGAGCAGACTGGGGTTAGGGGTCAGCGTCAGCACTGTCATCGTCACTGGGGCTACCTTACCACGGCCCAGCCCTGAGCCGAGTGCTTCGTGTACCTACTAGGCACACTCATCTGACAGGGCTGGGGCGAGGATGCAAAGAGGTGCCGGGCTCAGTGCATCGGAGCTGCTGCTGTTATTATTAATGTTGGCCTGAACTTATTTATCCTCATGCCCGTGCTGTGAGAGGGCTGATCGCTCCCGTTCCTGATGTGGAATCAAGGCCTGGGCTTTGGGAACACGTCTACCCTGAGCCAGGCCCGCGCTCCTAAGCGCCCCTGCTGGGTGAAACTCTGCGTAAGTGCTGAGCTCTCTCATCAGTGTGGACAAGCCACAGGCAGTAAAGACCCACGGAGACACCAGGACGGAGACACAGGGACGGATCCAAAGTGCTCCGCCCTGTGGTGCCTGTCCCCAGGCTCACCGCGGCTTGGAGACCGAAATAAGACAAGGTCGTAAGAGGCACTTAGACAGTCAGTGGGGGAAAGACTTTAAAGCAGAAGCTCCCCGAGGGAAGGGGGGAATCTGAGCCACCTTCTCTGCCCCACCCCCCGGAGGTGTGCCACAGGGGGTGGAGCTCTTCTGGGGCATGGAGGGGGCACAGCAGTGACCTGCACCCTCAGGCCCGTAGTCCCAGCCCACGCCTGGGACCATACCCGCCGGACCGGGCGGAGGTCATGCCACCCGGGACGCCTGGCACAGACGTCCTGGTCATGAACATACCACGTCGTGTCTGTGCTGGGAGGGGGCAGATCTGGCTGGGAACTGACCTTGAAAGTTTGCATGGCCCAGCTGCGGAAGGCGTCCTCCTGCCCGCTGAGCTCGTCCCCTTCCCCGGTGGGGGCGAGCTGAGAGGCCCCCAGTTGGGACAGCTTCTGGTCGATGTCATGAGCAAAGGCGCAGAACTGAGGGTACATGCTGGAGCCGAGGCCAAACACGGCATACCTGTCCGAGGAGGACACACACTTGGAGACGCATGTCCCACACGGCGCAGTAGGCAGCACCCAGCATCAACAGCATGCAAGGCCGGCCGCAGACTGTCCCACCCCAGCTGGGGCATAACCCCTTCTGGTCCTCCCTGGCCCCGGCCCTTATCACCAACTCCTGTGACCAACCCCACGCTTGGCCAGCAGCCTGTGAGAGGGACCTCGTTTGTCTGGCTTCACCCTCAACACACTCGGAGGACACACCTCAGAGCCAGGCTCTCTGTGCCTGGTTGGCTCTGAGAAGATCCCCTTACGCACCCCGGTTCCACCCCCTGAACCCAGACCCTGGGCCTGCAAGGCAGGGCTTGGACACATGGGAGTGGGGAGAAGCCTTACCTGAATTTGTTGGTGAGCTCTTTCAGCAGGAAGAGGGACTTCTTCAGTTTCTAGAAAGAAAGGGAGCCACAGAGTTCTCAGGCCAGGGCTAAGAGAAGCACTGCTTTCTCCTTGCTTCTGGTGGCCCCCTGTAAAACAGGCCACACTGGCAGGAGAAGGCTCTGGATCCACAGTGGAAGTTGGATTATGCATGGGGCCACCTGGGCAGGGCTCTGGCTGTCAGGTGACGCATTCAACTTGTCTCTCACCCCAGCTGACCGTTGGCAACTCATGTGGACCCTGCTCCTGAGTGGAGGACCAGAACAGCCTGGCCCCAATCCCTGCGGCCCCGGCAGAGGGGGCTGCCTCACAAGAGGGCAGCTCCAGGGGGTCTCCTGACAGGGCACGAGCCTCTCCTCTTGTTCAGAGCCTGGTAGAAGCAACAACAATTGGTCCCGCATTTTCTAAAATCACCCTGATTTTCCAGGAACCCAAGATAATCTGTAGGTGACCCAGCAGAAACAGCATCAAACCACATTGTGAATAGTTACTCCCTTTTTTATAATGTATTTTTTTGTTATTCCCTTTTTAATTCCCTTCTCATCCTTTTGAGCACCAGAGAGACAGTCTCAAATTGGTGCTAATCCAGCCTTAACACCTCTCCAACACTTGCCCATTACTCTTCTTCAAAAACAAAGGTAAACAGGCTTTGTTAGGCTACAGTAGCTAGCTAAAATTGAACAACTTCACTTTGTTTTCATTGAATTTCCTTTCTACTGGCTTTCCATTTGTGACAGTGATACAAGTTTCCTTTAAATATGTATTTTTAAATAAAGAAGAGTAGGTCATTCATGGGACTATATTAAGTATGTCATAGGAAAGGTGGCACACACATGTGGCAGTAATCATGAAGGAGGCAGGCAAATGACAGACACCAGGACCACCCGGAGTGACCCAAGCACTACTCCCAAACGTCCTCTTCGGGACATGCTGAATCCCCCGAGACCCTTTCCTGGGTCCTCCTGGGCCCTACCAATCCCCACGTCCTTGGGACCTCGGACCACCCACCTCTCCATTGCCAGGGCAGTCTCCATTCCCAAACGTGCTGGTCACCACCAGTAGCAGCTGCTCCTCCTCCAGGCTGCTCAGCCTATAGTCGTCCATGCAGAGAACCTGGATGGAACCCAGGTGACATCAGCCCTCAGCTCCCAGGTGGGCCCTCCAAGCCCTGCCCAGACACCCTGGCTTCCCCCTGCCTCACCCCCACTCTCAGGCTGGAGCCCCCGTCCTCATCTGTCTCCCCTCGTGCCCAGCACAGGTGTGGCACAGAGGAGGTGAAGGAACTCATTCAAACACATCGTCCTCGATTCTCCTTCTGCCATCGAGCCCCGCAGCCAACCCTGGTGAGTGCTGGAGGCTCTATCTCCAAAATACTGCATATCCCAAATCAAAACTTCTCACCACTTCCACTGCTATTTGAAATTCTGCGTGTGTGGACATATTTTCCACCAAAGTGGAATGAGCAGGTAACAGCTGTGCCTGGAGGGAACGTCAGACGAAATGTCTCCTTGCCTCGATGTTCTACCCAGGCCTACCTGACTGGGGATGTGGGACTGGCCACCAGTCTCCTGGCAGTTCCAGACCCCTGGGGGCCAGGAAGCCTTCTCAGTAACCTGTCTAACCTGGTCATTAGTCATCCCTCACCTGGCCTATGCTTCTCTGCAGCAGAGATCAAAATTTATTCCCACCACTGGCGTTACACTGGGCTGTGCCTTGTCCCCATGTGTCTCCCAGAAGCCATGTGACCCTGGAAAAACCACTTAACCTGTCCAACACTCGAGTTCTTCTTCTGTGCATTAACAATGGCTTTGGCCAACACGTGCTTTGCAGGGCTGTGGGAGGATGGAGTGAGGCATACACTGGCTCTGCGTCACTCACTGTTGCATCAGCAGAGCCCAGTGCTGGCCCAGCACGTGGCGATCACTTCCTAAGTGTTAGATTTTATCCTTCATGCCTAAAGGTAAGGGATGTGGGTTAGCTACCCTTTGAGGTTTTGTTTATCTACATCTTATTCATCCTTTGCCCCTTTCACATTTAGCACGGCATCCTGAAAAGGAGGCGTTCAGTCAATGTGAAAAAAATTCATCTAGAACAGCTCATGTGTATCGAAGCTTGGATTCATTAGGACAGTGTTTCTCAAAGTGTGTTCCCTAGAACACCAGGAAAACCTTATTTACTGTGTAAGTTTGGGAATCCCGGCACACAAAGCTATCCTCCTACTGTAGATTGACGATGCCCATCGGCACATCCAAGGCTCTGAGACATTCGGGAGAAGGGAAACTATTTCAACTTTTCCCAGACTTCTCTGCACACAGGCAGAGAGAATGACACCCATGCAGCTGAGCCGGGTACCTTAGGGTTGAAGGCACAGCTGAACAAGGCCCCCAGGTCCAAGGCCAGCGCTTCTGATTTTCCTGTCTCTGTCGCAAAGAGGATTGTGGCTCTGACTCGGGACGCCATCATCTTGCGCATCAGCATACAGGCAAAGAGCACAGCTCTGCGGGGACAGAGACAGACAGACACCGTGCTGAGTCAGCCTTCCAGAGGAAAACGGGGCACTGGGAGGGTGGGAGGTGGGCAGCGTTTACAGTGGGGCAGGTCGAGGGAAAAGGAAGCTGCGTCCCTCCCTGGCTGTCCACCTCGACTACACGCCCTTTCCTGCCCTCGTCCACTGCTCAGCCCTTTGGGAAAGTGAGGACAGGGAAGGTTGGGACAGCAGCAGCCAGCGACCCTCAGAATTCGTGGGAGCCAAACTCCACAAAGAATATCTTTTCTCTGTGTCCCCCGCCCTTCAAGGCCTGGGGGCGGAGGCTGACCAGAAGGAAGGGACAGTTCAGACACCAACACCGCCGCTCCTACTTACTTAACCAAGACTTTGAACTGGATCTCTCTTCTCCTGGGTCTCCGCTTCTCGTCCTGCCAGACGTGGGTTCTCCAGGCCTCCACCTTCAGTGAAGAAAGGAGAGGTGAGGGCAGGGCTTGGGGTGCTGGAGTGGTCGAGGATGCCTCACGACCTGCCCGAACTGGGGAAGGTGGCCAGGCCCGCGCCCCACCCCCACCGCACTGAAACCGCACAGGGAGGGTGGCCTGTCTCCCTCAGAGCTGCGTCTCCAGCGCCTGGCACGGGGCCCGCGCACTTATTCCCATTAGTCCTCCTGGAAGGAAGAGCCCCCGCTTCTCTTTTGCACTTAGTGTCCGAACACAAGGCAAACTACATCATGTACAGTCCGAGCCAAGACTCCCTTGCGAGGAAGAGGACGGACGTGCTGCCACAACAGGCAGACAGACGTTTTCCTGGGCAAACCAGGATACGGGGTCACCCTACTCTCCACCTCCAGAGTGAGGAAGCTCTTCCCCAATTCCAAACCAAATCCTTTTTGACAAAAATGAACCCGCTTCAATAGCCAGTGGTTACGGAGTGCATTCTGCATTGGGCACTGTGCTGAGCTGTCCCACACACCGCCGTGGAGCTATGCCCTTTGCTTTGAGATGGGAAAATCAGGGCTCAGAAGGGTGAACGGACTCGCCCAGGATCAGGACAGCTAGGAAGTGGCAGGATCAAGCCCCCGGGGTCTGACTCTGACCCGTGGAAGGGGGTGTGACAACAGTCAGAGCAACAGGCCACTAAAGGTACAATAAAAGGCATTTCCTTCAGTCCCACCCTCCGTGGAAATGGACAACAGCTGCTCAGAATCCTTGAATGGGGCCTGGGAGGCTTTAAAATATACCACTGTGTCCCCGACCCTCCCATGTGCCCGCATGAGTTCGCGCACAGGTGCGAGCACACTCACACGCACACTCACACGCATGCACGCACACGCAGTGCCCACACCTGAGCCCACCACCCCCGGGGGTGAGAAGAGGAAGGCCCCTCACCTGGTAGTAGTAGAAAGGGGACAGGATGTAGTTGAGCATCTCCTGGTGGAACACGGGGGTGATGCTCCCAGACATGGGAGGGACCAGCCAGATCCAGTCGGCCGGGCAGCCCCCACGGGACCGGTACTCGTTCTGCATGTACTTCATGAAGGACTCTGCAGCCGAGTGGTGGTCCATGATGGTCACATTTTGCTTCTAAATCAGAGGAAGGCAAGGAGGGGAGTTGAGATGGGGATGGGGGAATAGAGAGAGTGGCCGGTTGGCTGCAGGGCTCCCGGATGGAGCGTGGGGAGGCCTGGCGATCTGCAAGGTGGAAGAGCAACTCCGCCTGGCCCTCTCCTCGCCTGTGAAAATAATTACCCAACGGAAGGCACTTTCACGGCCTCTGAAGGAGCTCAAGAAAGCATCATGGCCATGGTCACACGGAGGTCCCATGGGGCCTCCCCTTGGCCCTCTGGGGGCAGCGTTCAGCTTCTCCTACCCACAAGTCCCCCCAAACTCCCAGCAAAGGCTCTCTCTGGATGTGGGTAACTCAAACCACAGCACCTTTTTGCAGGTAAAGAAAACACCATCCCAGCCATTTGTTGGTGGAGAGTTCTAAGAGTCACCTCCCTGGGGTTGTAGTTTTCTCAGCCGAGAATTTAGAACTAGAGACCTCTGTGGAGAGGTCTGAAGCACTGGGAGAACTGTAGTGTATGAAAGACAAATCGCCTATGGCCTGAAATCAGAAGCTGCAGAGTCTGAGACCACCTGGAATCACCCAGCAGGGGCAGCCACAACTCTCACTGTCTGGGGCAACCTGCTCGGTCAGGAGACATCTGTTTAACATAGTGTTTCAAACCCTGGCTTCTTATTAGCCATGTGACCTTGAGCTCTTAGTTCCTTAATCTCCCTAAGCCTCAGTTTCCTCATCTGTAAAATGGGGATGATAATAGTTCCCACACCATGAGGTTGTTGAAAGGATGCAATGAGTTGGTACAAGCAAAACACTGTAAGTGCTTAAGAAAGGCCAGCTGCTATTATGATGTCCGTGTGCCAGGCACTGAGTAAGGCACTGGCATTACCGAGGGGAAGACGCGGCCCCTCTGTGTTAGACTAGAGTCTAACCAGCGGAAGTAGAGGAAAGTTGGTCATTTTCACAAGAGGAGCTGGCGGACGTCAGACCCAGAAGGTCCGGCCACACCCTGTAAACTTGTATATATACATACAGAGCAACTCCCGGGGGCCAGGCCAATTGTCAGCTCAGGAGCTATGACAATGATGGTCACCAAAATAGATGATAACAGCACAACTAATGCTTACTTTTGCTAACGGGCCAGGCAGTGCAGCTAAACATTTTGTGTGAATTTTTACTTAACTCCTACAATAACCTGGTTAGGGAGGTACTACCATTATCCCCATTTTAGGAAACAAGGCCGAGTCTTTTGAAGTTTATCCTGGAGGAAGGTGACAAGGAAGTCCTGGAGACTCTCGGCAGTGCAGGGACACGGGCAGGCAACGGTCAGCAGCCAGCTGAGGCGCACAGATTTTCTGGGACGTAGCCACATCCTGCCAGTGTCAGGGCTGGTGCTGGGAGTCCCCAGGAGTCAGGATGTGTGGTCCACGACCAGCCCTTCCGAGCCTCCGGCTGTGCGGTGGGGGTTGGGGAGCCTTCCTGTTCCTTCTTAGCTCAGCCTCAGAACCCCTCCCCCACGGAGCACAGGCTCACTCTGCCTAGGGGGCTGACCCAGCAACAGCATGTGATCATATATGTTTTATCCGCCACTCACACCCTTCACCCAGCCTTGTGCCTGGCACACAGCGAATGCTCAGTAAAGCTTTGCTGAATGAATGAATGACTCTCTGCCCAGTGGTATGGTCTCCAGGGTTATCTGTGAGCTTTGTGGAGATAGTCCCAGCTTCTAAAGTAGTATCTTCACCCACCTCGGGCCTCCTTCCCAAAGGGAAGGGAAGTGTTTATAGAAGTAAGAGCAGGGGATGAACCTGAGGGCTCCGTCCCACACAGGAGCCCACCCGCGGTGTGTGGGCCCAAGAGTTGGATGCACAGGGAAGCAAGACCAAGCACTGCTCTTTTGGACGTGGGCTCTCGTCCATTCATTCTTCTAAGATGCATTTTTTTATTTGCATTTACCATGTGCCAGACACTCTTCTAGGCTAGCATTGCAGCAGTGAACAAGAGAGTCAAGGTCTCTGCCTCGTGGAGCTTACATGCTAGTCGGGGAAACAAACCAACAAAGAAAGAAGTAGATGTACTATGTAATTGCAAGAACTATGCGATGGAATATTATGAAGAAAAAAGAAGCAGAGTTAAAGAAACGGCAGAGTGAGACAGGGTGGCATGGAGCGCAGGTGTTGTTTTGCATGGAGTGCGGGTGTTGTTTTACATGGCGTGGTCAGAGAGGGCTTCTTCACAGAGACAGCAGTGGAGACCTCCATGAAAGGAGGGAGCTGGCCACAGGATGAAGTGTAGGAAGAAGGTTGTGGGCAGAGGGAAAAGTAGGTGCAAAGGCCCTGTGGTAGGAATCCTCTTGGTGAGTTTGAAATACAACAAAAATTCTAACACTACCAACCCGAGATTGTGGTGGGGGTAAAAGCCGGACTGGAGCAGACTCCGGGGGATGAGGATGTGCAATGAGATCTTTCAACAGTTCTGCTGTAGAAAGGAGCAGAAGAATGAAGCAGTAGCTGCAGGGAGCCTGGGGTTTGGGAGGAGTCACTTGGTTGGCTATTTGCTTATTTCTTTGAGATGGGAGCTGGGACAGCCTGTTTGCATACACCGTTGGGAAGGATCCAGCAGAGCGGGAGACATGGATGATACAGACAGAGGGGACAAACATTTTCAGGCATAAGTCCTTGTGCAATTAAGAGAGGACAGGATTCAGTGCTCAAGCGCAGAGATTGACCAGTCTTGGGAGGTGAGGAGTTGCCTGTTGTGTATTGCTAGCGTGTGCAAGAGGGGGTATTTATCTCTGTATCCTAGCACCTAGCACAGTGCCTGGCACAAACCGGGTGTTCAATGCCTGTTTGATGCCCACCTGCATGCATACATGAATGATGATGTAAGGGGAAAACCAAGCACCACACGAACAGCTGACCTAATCCCAAAGTCCTCAGACCCACAAAACACCAGACATACCTGGAAACTATAGAGCACGGCAATGTTGATCTCCACAACAGCCTGGTCCTTCCAGAGCGAGGCCAGCTTGTGCGTTTCCAGGCCCATTCTTCTGCCCACTTCCTACGGAGGCAGAGTCACGGGGGTGAGTCAGTCCTTGGGACCCACCCACAGGCCCACACCTCCAGCCGGCCCGGCTGGGCAGCCCTGGTTACCTCCAGGATGTTGTAGCGCTGGACGTCACAGAAGTCCCGGACCCCGATCTCCGTGCCCATGTACCAGCCATTGAAGGGGCACCCCGGGAACTCAAGGCCACCCACTTCGAGCAGCATATTGGACACTGCAGGCAGGGCGTACCACTTCAGCCCCAGCTCCTGGAACCACTTGTACCTGGCAGGGAGGCAGAGCCAGTTGCCATGGTTGGGGGGGCGGGGCTTCATTCTTGCACCCCTCCCCCATAGAGAAACAGAAAAAGAATCAACCAAGAAAACTTTTTTCCAAGAGTTGATCTGTAAGTTCATTCCACCAAAAGAGGTGCATCAGGCACACCAGGTGTCGTTCACTAAATTATGCATTCGTTCACTCATTCACTCATTCATTCATGCAAACATGTATTAAGCATCAAGCATGTGCCAGGCCCTGTGCCAAATGCTGAGAATGCAACATAACAGAGTGGTTAAGAACTCTAGCGTCAGAAAGCTGGGGTTTAAGTTCTGCCTCACCAGGGACCAGCGGTGTGACCTCGGGATGCATTTTAGCCTCTCTGAGCCTCAGCATCCCCATCATCAAAACAGAGATCGCAGCACCAAACTCGTGGGAGTATTATGAGGCTAATAATATTCATTTGCATATTCATTTATTCCACTACTATTTATAACTGTGCACCTGCTATGTGCCGGGCACCCTGCTAGGTGTTGGGGATCTACTGGTGAACAATAAAGGAAAGATCTCCACTCTCAGGGAACTTAGTCTGAGCGTCTAGACTCTAGACTATGAACAGGTAAACAAATAAATAAGAAACAAAGACAAGATGATGCGTTAGACCGAGGGTGACAGCGCTTACTCTCGACTGGGGGGTCGGGAGAGCGTTCTCAGAGGAGATGACACTATAGGAAATACTTTTGGACAAAAAGAAATGAGCACTGAAAAATTCAGAGGAAAGGGCATGTCAAGCAGAGGGAATAGCAAGTGCAAAGGCACTGAGGTTGGCCTGAGTTCAGTGTGTTCACGGGACAAGAAGAAGAGCCCAGTCCACACCTGACAGACAGTGAGTCTCAGTATGCGGAGGTGTTTTTGCAGTTATGAGAACTGCCTAGCACAGGGCCTAAACCAGTTGGGCTCTTGAAGTCCCTACAGCCCTGTATTCCCACCCCAATCAGAACAGGGACAGCTGAGACAGTCGGCAGGAGGGTGAAAGAAGCCCGGGCTATGCAGCTGGAGAATCTCGAAGTGTTCCTCTCCTGAAGTCACCGCTTCTCAAACGCCCATGGCCCCGTCCATCTAAGCCTCCGCTTGCCCCTCGCCATCAACATATTCTCCTAAGTCTGAGGCCTGAGAAGCAAGTGCAGAATTGCTACGGAGCAAGGGTGACAAAGGGGTCCTTGAAAGCCAGCCCTCTGGTGTCACTTGCTGCTGGCTGAGCTTGTGGGGAGGTCTGGGGGCTGGAGCCTCAGGGAAGGCGGGAGGCATGCATGCTCACTCGCACCCCCCAGCGCCCTCAGCCCACTTACTTGGGATGTTCCATGGGCACCTCAAGCACGAGGTCAGGCGGGATTTCGAAGAGCTCAGGGTCACGGCCGTCAGCCTGCAGGACCAGGGGCACCACGTCGAAGCGGCCGTACTTGGGCTTCCAGCCCAGGTCGATGCACAGCTGGGGAACAAGACAGGTCCAGTGAGTCTGCAGGCCAGGCACCTTGTCTCCTCTGGGCTCCACCCTCTCACCCACCACTGGGTTCCCTGCCCGAAGGGCCAGGGCTGAGGCTGGGCCGGGTACCTGGGTGAACTCCACGTTGGCAGGGTCCCCTCTGATGGAGCCATCGGGCATCTGGTAGCCGGCATATCGGATGAACTGAGCGTTCCAGATCCGGAAGTCATGCTTCCCATCGCTCCGCTGGGGGAACACGGTGATGGCCGACCTTCCCGGGACAGGGACAGTGCTGTTTACCACCTGGCTGGCCCTGGTGGGGGTCCAGCCACGCCCCGCTGGCCCCACCTCCCCCTCCACTCTGCCCGCTCTGCAGCCCCCTGTACCCGCGTTGACTGAACCAGCCCCCAACATGCCCTCTCCTCCTACCCTTCCTTCCCAGCCAGCCCAGGGCCTGCCCCCTCGAGGGAGCCCTGCCAGCCTTCCCCTGTTGCCCCATAGATAATCGTCTAGTGCAGGTCGTAGGTTCGGAGTGGCCAGAGCAGCATCTCAGGGGCTTAGTCCCCTCTGCCTCCCACCCCCTCCCCCAGCCTCCCCCTGCTCCTCCGGCCTAGTCCTGTGTTGGGTCCCATTAGGTGGCACTGAGTATTTGCTGAACAAAAAAACACGAATGAATGACCAAATGAGCTGTTCGGTCCCATCAGCTGTGACCTCTTTGGTTGGGGGAGGATGGTAGGCTGGGGGTAGGTGGGGGGGTGGGCAGACACAGCAATGAGCAGTGACTGTCCCACCTCTAAGGAAAACACCATGCCAGAGCCATCTGCTGGAAAACCAACATCCCATCTCCCCTAAAGTGGGGAGCCCTAACCCTAAACAGTGAAGAAGTTACTTCTTAATGATCCTCCATCCCCTCCGAATGGTTCCAAGTCAGAAGGAAACCACGGAACTAGGCTCCCGCCAGGAGCTGGGCTCACAGAGGCTGGGCTGGCTGCCAGAGGTGCCTGAGGAAGCCTGAGTCTTGCTCCTTTTTCTTTCCCTCTGGTTTCTCGTGGAGCTGGAGACGCCTCCCCTAGATCCACCTGCATCTTTTGGCTAAGACTCTGGGGCAGGATGGCCCTGCTGCAGCCCCGGGAAAGGCCCACCCACCTGATGTTGCCGTTGTTGGTGGAATAACGCAGGTGTCTGCAGATGTGCTCAAACATCTCCCGGGCGGTGGAACAGTTCCGGGCATCGAAGACCTGCACACAGCCCACCCAGACCATGCCCGTTAAAGACTGAGTGGACAGAGGCTTTGGGGTTAATCAGAAGTCACTGGGGTCTGAGGGAGCCGCCAAAACACCCAACACCGAAACACCCAATGCCACGTGGAGAAGAAGCGTAGCTTCCTCTCTGCACCCGCTGTGCCCCGCCCTTCCTTCTCCTGCCCCCAGGGGAGCACAGGCAATCCCACTCGGAAGACCCCAGCAAGATCAAACTTCCAAGAAAGCCTGGCTTGAAAGCGCCATGAACCAGGATTCCCACAGCCCCAGCCTGGTTCCTTTGCCAGGGGAACACAGTTTACACAGCCAGGGTTGGTCTCACTGGCATTTCTCATTGATTTCTCCGTCCAAGTGCTTTCAGTATTACCCAAGAACAAATGATGCCCCAACAAAAAGATGGCCTAGGAGGCTAAGATAAATAAAATGTTCTCTCTGCACCAAGAATTCAAACATTCAAGGTAAACAAACCTCTCTCGCAGCACCAGGGCCTCAAAAATACTAAAAACAAGGTCATCCTTCGGTTTCATGATGGCCTTTAGTCTCCCAAATTTAATACAAGACAGAACAGTCATCTAGAAACCCTGGTGCTGAAATAGGATGCCAGACTTACAGAAGGGGACCCTAGGAGCCCCCATCTCACGTCCAGCGATGTGAGAGAACCCTGGGGAGGCCTGGCACAGCTCTGCTCGGCTGTTCCAGAGCCATCCGCCTGGAGCCTGCCCCCCTCCTCCGTCTCCCGCGCGGGTCTAAGGAAGGTCACCTGCAGGTTGGACCACTGGATCCTCCCGATGCAGCGGGGGGCGTTGCGCCAGGCCTGCTTGGTGGCAAAGATGAGCTCATCTCCCGTCAGTTGGTAGGTTCCTGTTGTTTCTATCTCCTTCGTCACCGCTTCCACCCTGGCCAGATGTTCCTCTATTTTTGCCCTGGGAGACAGGAAGACATCAGGAAGGTCAACAATGAGATGGCCTTAAATGGGGATTGATTCAATCCACAGGAGCAGGAACTGCAGTAGGACACCCAAAGGGCAAGATGTCTCTCACCGGAAACTGTCTGTCCCCTCCAGGGCCGGCTTCAGGGACCCCATACTTGGCTAAGAAGGGACCTGAGCTTAATGCTCTGCTGTCCCCATCTTGAAATTCTTAATCATGTTTGACCAAGGAGCTCGTATTTTCATTCTTACGATGGGTCTTGCAAATTATGTAGCTGGGCCTGAGCCTGTGGGAACCTGGTTATCTCTAGGTGCTTTTTCTTTAACCATACTCGTCTCAGCAAGGGGTGCAATCCTTCTCAGACACTGGCGAGGCTCAAAAGGGTGTCCCATCAAGCCGCAGCACCATCCTTCCTCTCTACCGGTCGGGAGAGGGCCTGTGCACCTCGTCATGGCCAAGGGAAGAAGAGCCAGGCCCTCCTGCAGCCGCGCCTGTGGACCGAGTATTCGCTACGAGCCAGGCGCTGGGTGAAGCCGCTCGCGGAGGGTCTCCCTGAGCCTGTGTGGGAGGTGGTTTTGTGCCTGTTTTACAGTCAAGGGTCTCAAGGCTCTAGGAGTTAAGTGCCAGGCCCAGGGGCATAAAGTATGGGAAAGAGCAAAATCAGGACTCACACCCGTGCCTCCCTGATGCCAGGATCGTAGCTACCTGCAGTGTGGCCTTCTGCATCCACCCTAGGGGAACTGTAAGCCCAGAGATGGGGACCCTAAGGGGACTGCAAGCCCAGAGATGGGGAGTGCCTGTCCACCCTTCCTCAGGAGCGTGCTCAGGCTGGGACCTGCCGGGTCCCAGGGCCTGCCCCAGGGGAGCTGCACACAGTGTGGTCCGGCATCCTCGCCTCTCTAAATCGTGCTGTTTCTCAGCCTCAGAACCGCTCATCCAGCAACTCCATGTGCAGTTTCTCAACCTGCTTCTCTTCTGCCCCACCAGACTTCAAAAATACCCAAAGGAAGGGGCCCAGTCGGAAAGGCTTTGAAACACACACACACACACACACACACACACACACACACACACACACAGAGCAACCTTGAGATTTCCAATCAGCACCAAAGGTTTTTGAAATGGCAACAAACAAAACTATTTAAGGAATGAACTCCTGATTAAGGAGAGTGGACAACTCAGAACAAAATGGCCTTTCTGTGGATGAAGAGTGTCTTGACAACTCTTCCTTGATTATAGAAAAAAAGCACAAAGACAAAACACTTGGCGATATTCATCCTCAAGGACACCTCTGCCATGGGAGCTGCTGGGTGAGGCTGGAGCTGCCCCGCCGCCAGCAGACCTCCCTCCCCAAACAAAACTTCCAGCAAAACTCTCCACTCTGTCCCCAAGCACGAAAACAGTAGCCATCACCCTAACACCGATGCCTTGAACACACGTGGTAGTGCTGACACGTGAATGCGTAAGAAAGGGTTGTTCTCTGTTTGCACCCAATTCCTTTAGAGTTTTAGGTTTTACCACTGTTTTCACACAGTCACATTTCCGAGGCACTAAAAATGCTATGAAGCCTATTAGCTCCGAAAGGAAGGAGTGGTTTTCATCATCCGTGAGCAGATTTGACTGTAACATTCAGCAAGTCACAATCTCTGAATACACTATGATGCTTCAGATACAAAAAAGTGACTGAACCCACTCAGCTGGCCGGGCCTCAAGCTGCTAGGGGAATGCCAGGGCTGCCATTCCTCACCCACACCTGCAGGACCTCTTGCGGGTTCCGGGGTACGTAGTCGTGACCGTGAGAAATGGAACGTGCCCTCCCTGGGCTTTCAAACACCCACCCGATTGCCTTCCAAACACCAGCAAGTTGGGAACCTACAGGGCCAAAGAGCTAGGTGCTAGAGCACTGGGGGTAAAAGCGAGGGCTCGGACGCCAGCTGCCTTGGTTCAAGTCCCAGCTCTGGGGCTTCAGAAGGTGCAACTTGGAGCAAGTTACATCTCCACGGACTTCAGTTGCCTTGTCCGTATAATGGGGATAATAATAGCGCCAATCATATAAAGATGCGGTGAGCATTAAATATTAGTGACTTACACGGGGCCCTGCACATGCTGAGTGCTGTGGCCCAGTGAAGCCCACCCAGGAAAATCCCTGGACCCCGAAAGGCTCATCGGTTAACAACTGAGCTGAAAGACAAAGGATGGTGAATTCTGCAGTCAGAAGCTCTAGTTACACAGCACGCACAGCAGGCAGCCTCCTAACAGGGCTGCTCCCAATCCGGGCTGTACATTAGGAAAGTTTCTGAAGAATGCAGATGTCTGCTCCTTCCCCACTTCCCGAGATTCTGCTACCCTTGGCCCAGGGAACCCTGGCATCAGTATTTTGCAAGCTCCCAGGCGATTCCATTGCATAGCCAGAACCACTGCCCTGGAAGATGAGGGCCTCTCTCGAACCTTCCAGGTCCCTCCCAGCTCAGACATTCTAGGGTTGTATTAAACAGGAGATGGGACCCCTCACAAGCCACCTTTCTGCAACTGAGATTTTTTTTTTTTTTTTTTTTTTTTGAGACAGAGTCTCACTGTGTTGCCCAGGCTAGAGTGCCGTGGCGTCAGCCTAGCTCACAGCAACCTCAGACTCCTGGGCTCAAGCGATCCTCCTACCTCAGCCTCCCGAGTAGCTGGGACTACAGGCATGCACCACCATGCCCGGCTAGTTTTTTCTATATATTTTTAGTTGTCCAATTAATTTCTTTCTATTTTTAGTAGAGATGGGTCTCGCTCTTGCTCAGACTGGTTTCAAACTCCTGAGCTCAAACAATCCGCCCGCCTCGGCCTCCCAGAGAGCTAGGATTACAGGCGTGAGCCACCGCGCCCGGCCTGCAACTGAGAATTAAAAATCCTTGTATTCCAGTGCCTGACACCAGGATGGAACATACTAGGTGTCCGATGTGTGTTTGTTGAATGAATGACTGATTGGCTATAGGAATAGAAATGAAGGATGCCCAACACCGTATTCATGGAAGCCTCATTGGGGTAGAAAAAAAAAGAGACCCCCAGAAACGTGGAGCCCCGCCAGGTTCAGTGCAAAAAGCACTGGCCTGCCCTCTCTAAGTCATGTGGCCTGGCTTCTAGCTGGGATTTGGTGACCTCAGGTATGTCACTGGTCTTCCATGTTCACACCTGTAGGAGCAGGGGCTTGACTAGGTGGTCTCTGAGGTCCCTTCTACCTCAAATATTTCATAATAAAAGAGTCCATATTAATTCATAATCAAGGTTTTTATGTGCTAGGGAACTGTTCTAAACTTACTTAATCCTCACAGCAATCTCACGAGCCAGGTTCCATTATTATTCCCATTTGACAGATGAGGACATCGAGGCACAGAGAGGATAAACAGATTCCCCAAGGATTCGGCAGTAGTTGATGGGGGAGCCAGGATTCAAACTCAGTGACACCCCAACCCACACTTTTAACCACTATTGCTATACCTAACTTCATCCCATGATTATGAGAACCTACTCCAGCGTCTTTTCCCTTGGAAAACTACGATTGAGCCACTGCAAATCTGGGAAGGAAAGGGGTCAGAGGGCGATGGGTGGAGGCGGGAGAGCCAGGGGAAGAGGAGCAGGCAGCGACCCTGCAGGAAGCAAGCCTTACTCTTTGAAGGAGCCGTAATACTGGTTGACAAATTCGATAGCTTGAGGTAGAAGCTCGTCCGGAGGAGTAGGCTTGTCCCTGGGTCCTCTGGTCAAACTTTTGGGGGTCATGATGGATCCCAGGCAAGATTTGGACTTGCAAGTGAAAGCCTAGAAAGAGAGAGGCAGGTGGTGAGGATGGGCCATTCGGCCTCTCGGTCACCCTCCTCCAGGGCCAGCTCTCCTGACCACCTCTCTCCTCTGTCCTCTGGCTACTCCAGCTCCCTGTACCTCCTCGCCACCCTATGGCACCTCCTCCTTGGAGTCCACCAGGCTTTCTCCCACCCAGATGTCCTCTCCTCTACTGGTTGAACTCCAGTGGGGGTGTGTTGGTTTTGTCCCCCAACCCTGGGCTCAGCCTCTGGCCCTGCTCCCCAGCCAGCCCCAGATCCAGAGCAAAGTCACTGTGATGTGGCTCCTATGGGAACACAATATTGCTGTCCAAAATAAACTGAAATGGGAAGGTGCAAAACCCAAAGTCACAGGATGGCACATAGAAAAACTACTGGAAGGAAGTACACTCCAATGTTACCTGTGGTGACTTTGGGGTGGGGGCTAGGAAATCATCCTGTTTTCAGTCTTGAAATTGTCAATTCTGTCCCACTTTACAACCATAGAATGTATTCTAAAGCTAAAATAAGAAACTTAGATGATAGGAAGGAGCCTTAAAAGACATTCAGTCCAGCCACTCACTGAACGCTTGAACACCTCTGCAATCACCCTATCAAATTACCCTTGAATCCTTCTTGTGACAGGGAACTCACTACCTCTTGATGTAATTCCATTGAGCTTTGAGCAGTTCTGCTAAAAAATTCTCCCTGATACAATGTTGAAATCTGTCTCTCTAAGAAAGATATTAATTTTTTCCTATAATTATCTGACATTCTAGATTATCCATTAGGTGCTTAACAGGGAGCTGGCATCATTTACTTCCTACTGTAATTTGTGAGGCATGTGAGTCTCTGTTCCTAGAACCCTTTGCCCAAGCAGACAATTGTCTAGTTTGCCCAGGGGAACGACCGTTTGATCCACTGAGCCCTAATCCACAAAGTTTCACCCGTCTGGACAAGGGTGCTTCTCCCCGAAGGCCCAGACTCCTCACCCCTTTGGCCTTGTGGTGGAGTGTGTCTTGGAAAGTGGTCCCACTGCCCCAGTTTTTGATTCTCACGTGTTGTGGGCAGGCCAATGGGGGCACAACCGGCTTGACCAGGGATTCTGGAGACTTCTGAAAGGGGGAGAAAAAAAAGGGTTTTCCAAATGCCTCCAACCCCAGGCACCCCATGGGTCTCGGCTTTGGCTTCGGTGGGAGGAGGAGCTGCGGGTGGGTGCACAGGGCAGGGTGTCAGTCGTGTCCATCCCCCGTCCCAGCAGCTGGGCCGCCTGGGCCAGTGCCTGCTCAGAGCTCCAGGTGCCTGGGCCACTGGCCAGGCTTCTCTCCTCACCCAAGGCCCTGCCAAATGCTTCCTCTGAGAAACTGAAAGAGGAGGACCTAAGGTTAGATGTGAGGGAGACGAAGGTCACAGCCAATACAGCCGAGAACAGAAATCGGGACAAGGAAGGGTGTACCACTGCCTTTCCTCCCCAGGGGATTTAAGGATATAAAATCCACCTTCTCTCCCCCTCCTACCCATTTCTCTGGCCACCTCCCTGGAATGCCGAGGTGGACAGCACTTCAGGAAGATGGAACCCACAGGACAGAAGCCAGTGTCAGTGCACCGGGGCAGCCTCCACTCCGACCACCATGGCTTGTTGCCCTCTCCCAAAGCCCTCCCTGCCTCCCACCTGCCCTCCCCGACTCTGCTGGCTCCAAGTCTGGGACTCTCCACTCACTGCCCAGACCCCGGCTTCCCACACCCTCCAGCCCAGCCTCCAACGGGCTGCTCTGTCTGCGTCTGCCTGGGCGAGGGAGGAAGGGGCTTCCCACACCCGTGTGACTCACTGACCTTGACCGTCCCCGTGAGGGGCTGGAGGGACTCATTCTGGTGCTTGCTGAAGCTGTGATACTTGGGGTCATCCTGTGTCACCGGACTGTGAAAGGAAACAGCCCCTGTGAGGTGGGGTATCTGAGGGTGGAGGGGGATCTTGGTGTCCCCTCTGCCAGCCCCCGCATTTGACAAATAGGGGAACCGAAGCCCGGAGGGTGGGACTGAATTGCTCATGGCTTCCAGGCAAGGAGGTTGGGAGTGCTATGGGTACAACCGAATCTCCCCGCCTCCATTCCCACCTCCCCTATTCCTCTTCTCCTCTTCCCCCAACAAAGCCAAAAAGCCAGGAGCCTCCAGAGCCGAAGCCACTAGCCCACAGTGGCCCACAGGAGCTCTGGGAAAATGCACCCCCACCTGAAAGCCAAGTACAAACGTGGCACAGGCAGGTGGGCAGAGAGTGGCTCCGTCAACCCTGCCCTCCCAGGCCGGCAGCACTGCCCTGCAGCCACTCGCTTTTAGCCACTTGAGCTTTTTTATTTAAAACACTTGATTTATTTACTTATTCTACATTTTTATTATGGAAAATGTTCAGCACAAAAGTAGAGAGAATAATGTCATAACCCTCCCTGGGCCCTTCACCCAGATTCAACCCAACTCAACAATGATCGGCCCATGGCCAATCTTGCGTCAACTGTACCTTCCCGGCCTCCACCGTTATTGTAAAGCAAATCTAAGACAGCAAGTCATCTTTACTGAGGTAAGTAGCTTCTCAAAATACTTTTGGAAGGACTCTTTTCAAAAACATATTGGTTTTATTTATTTTAAAACAGCAAGTTGCATTTAAAGAATTTAGCCTGTCCTTTGCAGAGGAAAAAGCCCTAACAGTCTGAAATCGTTCAGAAACTGTTGATTCTGGTTTGAGATTTCAGAGTCACTCTCCTGACAAATGTCACAGGGAGAAGACATGTGAGCCCTCCCTGTGCCACGCCTGTGAGCGCCCCTCCAATAGTCACCGCTCACACCTGCCTCCCCCGAGAAGAATCACCCTACCGGGGCATCTTGGCTTGAAAACTTACTGTGCTTCATGTTTTTGGCAGTATGTTCTGGGCTGCTCGTGCATGCGCATCAGAGGGAGAGGGGGTCATAGACCATTACAAAGGTCTCTCATTTTCTACTCGTACGTATCTATGATGTTGAAATGTGATGAATGAACCATGTATTGCATTTGTTATTGGAAAAAAAGGACCAGATATTTCTATTACCATTATATAATTAACTACATACATTATATAGTGGCATTAGGTGATTTATAACTATAAAGAGATAGTGTCTCTTTAAGAGGATGCAAGTATGTATCAGACAGCAACTTATACCTGAATCAAGTGATTCAGCAGCCCTGTAAAGGGCCCTCCATGTGACCAACTATTGTCACCTGACAAAGATTCTTGGCCAAAGTTTAGTCAGACCCCTGAATCTTTTGCTAGGCCCATCTGTGCACTTCCTTGTAAAATCTAGTTTTAGCAAAAGAATCCTGCTAAGTCAGTTTAGCGAGAACCCCCATCCTCGATATCTGATCATCCCCCACGTCCCCCAGGTGATGTCTGATCACCTGGCCTGTCCTCAGCAAGAATCCTGTTAGGTTGGTTTAGCCAGAATCCCCCCTACCTCTGATATTTCCTTAGGAATTTTCCATCCACTGACCCCCACCCTGCTCCTTGGCTATAAATTCCCACTTGTCTGTGCGGTGTTCATAGTTGCGCCCGATCCTTCTCCCCCACTGCAAGACTCCATTGCAGTGGTTCCCGTACCTATCGAGATGCTCCTACGGAATAAAGTCTTCCTTACCGTGCTTTAACAAGTATCATTGAATAATTTTTTTTGTTAACACACCCCTCTGGTCTGGACTGATGTGTGCTCCACCAGAAAAAAAGCCAATGTAGGGTAATCTGGACATGCGAAATAGGTAGGCCATGGCTGAGCCGTCGTCATGCCTAACGAGGAAGGTGCTTTGGGGTTCCCAAGGAGACAACGCCTTACTGCACCTCTTGCTTGCTCTTTTGCCATTACCCTTCACGCCAACCCCCGCCCTGCACCCGTTCTTTCTCCCTCTCACATACATCTGGAAATGGACTTGGACAATTTCAGAAGCTTCAGATCAGAAACATTAACTGGTCTACAGCAATGTTTAGATTGAGAAACGATGTCTTTGTACACTTAACACAAGTATTTACCCCAAATATTATAAAGCATCATCTTAAAAAGCTGCCTGAGAATCCACTATGCAGATGGGTCATAATTAGCCTGACCCCATCGCCTATGGCTGGATGTTCAGTTGTGTCTAGTTTTCCACTAATGGAAATAATGCCTCGACCTTTACATGAGGTCTGATGCTGGCGCTGTGTTTGTGTACGTGTGTGTGTGTGTGTGTGTGTGTGTGTGTGTGTGTGTGTATACGAGCACAGAAAAACACCTGGGGGGGATGTCAATTAATGGTAACAGTGCTATTAAGCGATGAAATCGTGGGCAATTTTAAGTTCCTTTCATAATTGGGATTTTTTTTTAATTTGGAAAATTAATAAACAAAGCGTTGCCCAGACCCCGTCTCCCCAGTTAGCAGATTTCTTTTGGCTAGGAGCTGGGAGATGACGGTGACCAGATGCCAAGTGAGCACTTCAACGATCTGGACACTTGTTTCCAAATTATTGCCTGGTTTATCCCGACCCTGCAGACACTCGTGCAGTTTGACTAAACCCACAGCTGTGCCCGGCCATAAGGACCCGTAAGTACCTGCCGTCAAAGGGAGAGCTGGGAGTGTGGTGGCTTGCTTAGACCCAGAGCTTTCCACAAGTCCCCGCGGGGCTGAGTCAGCGCTGCACACCGTGGCTAGTCTGGGGCTGACCTGGGGGCGCGATTCCCCTGCGGTTCCCGTTCCCGCCCCAAGGGGTGACCGACGGCACCCTGGGAAATGGACCTCATTTGTAAAACAAGAACCTCTGCCGACTTAACCGTATCTGATCTGAAGAGCGCAGCAGCCCCAGTGTTGAAAAATCAGAGCAACTCCAAGTGTCCCAACCACCAACAGCTCAGCCCGCACCGTCGCCTAGCGCGCGAAGGCGAGCTGCGGCTCCGGATTGCGACCTCTTATGCGTTCTTAACGACAGTCGCCGAAAGCGCGAAGCTTTGAGCGCACCCTCAGGAAGCCAACAGGGCGCGTACTCCAACCCTCCTGCTTTCTCCGAGAGGGTCAGTGCCGCGCCGGCTCGGAGCGGGTCCCGCCTCCCTCCCAGGGCGCGCCCGGCCCGCCGGGGTACCTGGCTCGGCGCGGGCGACAGGCGGGCTTCGGCCGGAGGATCCTGCGGAGGAGCCGGCAGAGCCGCGGCCCGGCGGCCTCGCACGCCGCGCCCAGCCCCTCGCGCATGGCCCCGCCGGCGCAGCTCCGAGGGCTCGCGCGCCCCGCCGCGCCCGCGCCTTTATCGCCCGCCCGGGACCCCGCAGCCCCCGCCCCGGGGCGGGGCGAGCTGGAGGAGCGGCCGGGCTCGCTGCACCCCGCGCGCACGCGGGTCCCCACCCGGCGTCCGCCGCGCCTCGCCTTCCTCAGGGCGGTCCTGAGTCCCCCACGCCCTGGGGCCGCAGCGAAGTTCGGATGCCACTGGACTGTCTCTGGGCTAAGGGCCTCGGGTTTGTTTACTCCCCATAAAAAAACGGCAAAGATCATCGTAATTACTCCTATTGTACAGCCTTTGTAGTTTACAGAGCAAAATTCCTGTTTGCTGTTTCATCTCCTCACTAAATCCGGTCAAGTAGGCAGTTCTACGTTGTTATCGCGACTTTATTGAGGCAGAAGGGGCCCAGAGAGGTTTAGGATCTTGCCCAAGGCCACACAGCAGCCCCAGGACCACAGCACAGGCCAAGCTGTCTCCACCTCAGGGTGTTATTTCTTTTCTGCAGGTTCTGTGTGATTCTAGGAAGGAAGCTAAAGAAAATGCAAGACCTGGGGTTACTTGTAGTGGGAAACATGGGGGGAGGAGTGGACCAGAAGTCCCCTCAGGTCCCTTGCAGGCCCCTTGTCCTTAACCCCTGGAAGGCGCAGGGCCTCCTGACTGCTCCATCTGCAAGCCGCTGCTTCCATTCCCGGCAGGATAACTGGTAGGGTCCAGACCCAGACAGGGTAGCAGCCCTCGGCCTCAGAGTGCAGGTTTTTCTCCTGGACATATTCCAGCACATTAATTCCCAAACTCAAATGAAAGAGGAATGAAAAAGGGTGCATGTTTATTTTGAGCCAACTGCAACCCGCTAGCAACACTCAGCTTGACTTTGTTCTGAATTCTATAAAACTTCACCTTGCTGTTCCCAAGTTTGCCTTCGTCTCTGAAATGCACACACACCCCGTGCTCACTTCCTAACTGTTTATACAAAATCATCCCATAGAATAGATTCTTGGTCTTATTACACCTGAAGAGATTTAAAAATTACTTTTTAAAATCAAAATATGTTAGTCGGCTACCATTGCTTTCAGGATAAAATCCCCTGTGCCCTGCTGCTTCCTCTTACGGTAACATCCTCCCTGCCCTGGACAGATGATTGCAGTCCAGCTGGGCCACCTCCTCCCAAAGGCCGCCCCCCACAATCCTCCCCACAACTCGAGGTGCACACACACACCCTGCCACCTCCTGCCTACCTCACTGCCCCACGCCACGCCTTACATGTCTACAAAACTCTTTAACATCGAGTCCCTCATGCACTCCTCCCCAAACCAGTGAGGAAAGCATCGTTTCCCCCGTTTCCTTCCTGACAGCAGGAACTGGGTTTCTTTTCTCTGTCCCTTTTACAGCCCAGCACACAGTTGGCCCTCGGGGAGAGCCCAGAGAGTGCAGAGGTTATGAGTTTGGACTTGAATCAAACCGCAGCTCCGCCACTTTCTAAATATTGACCTTGAGTAAGTCACTCAACCTTGCAAGACAAGAATAATAATAGCTCCTGCCTCATTACTGACACAGTAGTAAGGACTTTATAAATGTTATCTGTTATTTTTAGCAGTGGTGTGTGCAATTAATAAAGGGCTCACACAATTCATTGATAAACAGAGGGCTTCACTGATATCGTAACTCCCAGCATAGTGCCAGAGGCGTAGGCACCAGCATATAATCATTAATGGAATGGGACAGGCCCAGGACCAAAAAGGCGGCAGCCCAGTGCAGTGGTTACAGGCCAGACTGCCCAGATTCGAATCCTGGCTCTGTCATTTGCTAACTATGAGATCTTAAAAATTACTTAAAACTTTTGGGCTTCAGTGTCCTCATTTCTAAAACAGGAGGATAACTAAAGTCCCTTCCTCATGGATTGCTGGGAGAGTTAAATGAATTAATGCATGATATTTTCTCTCCGTCACCTCCACTATCTGATCGGTGCCTTTCCACCAGCGCACCCCAGCGTGAAGAGGAGACGTGGGGGCGGAAAGTCCAAGTTAGGGGGTTCGCCTCAGGTCACGCTGAGTTTTCCTGAATGGTCCAAAGTGACAAGTCAGCCCTCAGGAATAACTGGCAGTGCTGTTAGAGGGTGTGGGACTAAGGGTTAAAGGTTACAGACAACACTGTAAGGGTTCGGGAAGGAGAGGGATTCGGGGTGGTCTCTAAAGACAGGGCACGGATTGTGTCTGGAAGAGTCGAGGGAGGGAAGTGCTGTGCCCAGCACCAGGAAGCCGAGGCAGACTGGGCTGGGCAGGAGGCACGGACCTTCTGTTTGGGTAGGGTGACCGTGCAGTGACAGGCAATGGGAAGCCACTGCAGACTCTAGAGCAGGAGCATGACTTGCTAGAAGTCTAGCTGGAGGGAGAGAGGTCAGAGCCAGTGCGAGGGGCTGGAGTTGGGAGGCCAGCTGGCAGGGCTGCCGTGGTCAGATGGAGTGAAGGAAGGGAGGAAGCCGCTGTCAGTCTGCAGCCTTTTGAGTCTGAAGTGCCAGCAGGACATCTAGAGGCCATTCAACCCTGCATTCTCCCCTCTTGGTCCCTTGGCCACCTTGGCCACCATAGCCAGACTGCCTGGTGTTGAACGTTCTCTCTTCTAGTTCACCCCCACATCACACCTGGACTGTCTTGCTCAAGAAACTACAATGGCTCCCTACTGCCAAGCATAGTCTAAATCCCCTCCCCTGCATTCCAGCCCTCAGTGCCGTGGCCTGGCCTGTCCCAGCCCCCAGCCCACCCCTGGTCCCAGCACAGTCAGGCTCGCTTCTGCCCTTGGGCCTTTGCTCGCCTTGCCCTGCTCCTGAATGTCCTCACTACTTCTGTTCACCCCTCCACATCCTACCCACTCCCCAAAGTCCCCAGAGTTCACCTCCCTGCTGTCAAGCTCCCAGAGGGGACTCTGTTTAACATCGCTCCGTTGCATCCCAGCTGCCAACAACAACGACAACTACAGCAGATGCTATTTGTTGAGCACCTACTCTTTAATCCTTGTCACAACCCTGCCTCTTACAGATGAGGGGAAATGAGGCTCAGAGCGTAGGGGACTTGCCACAGGTCACAGGGCTATTCAGTGGCAAAGACACTTGCTCATCCCCAAGCCCATGTTCTTAACCACAGGCTATTGGGCCACCTCTGACAGGTACGCTAAGGGCCACCACGCTGCACACCTCCAGGGGGCACCCTGCGCATTGTGGTCCATGGGAAAGGCTCCTCCGGGGCTGTGTGGTGGCCCTGCGTGGAGGGGAGTTGGGTTTGATTGGCACTCTTGTGTAACTGCAGGTTGACCTGTCCTTCCGTACGAGCACGCCTCACCCTCCAGCGCAAGGCTGTGAACTCTTCTCGCAATCCCGGAAGCCTGCGCACTGACCAGCTCGCCGATGTCTAATTCTCTCTGTTCTGCCATGCATCCGGCTTGCTTCTATAGGCCAGGGGATGAGGGACATGAGGAGTCTACGCTTTGGATTTGGGTTCAAATTCCGACTCTGTAATTACCAGTTACATAACCTGGGGGAAGTCATTCCCCTCTCAGAGCTCCTATTTCCTCATCTGTAAAATGAGACAACGGTGTGAACTTCACACAGAGCCGCCGCGGAATCAGTTGGGATGCAAAGTCTGTAAGTGCCCTGTGTGGCTGTCGCACAGAGCAGGTGCTCAGTAAGTGGTAATAAACCTGACGTTTCCCGAGTGCCCGCTACGTGCGGGCACACCGCTGGGCCTGCGCACCTACGCTCCCACCTCCTCCTCCACCGGCCGTGCGGTGGGTCCCTTTGGGAGCCTCATACTCTAGGTGAGCACATCTGAGGCTCAGAGAGGTTAACTCGCCCTGGGTCACACAGCGGCGAGCGGCAGCACTGGACCAGCTGGTGCGGCACAGCACAGGGCTTGGATGTAGTTTGTCTGACGTCCCGGTACCCTGTCCAGGGTGTTATTCAAAAACTCGAACCCCTGGTGAGGCACACGCACAGGTGAGTCAGAGCAGATACGGGCCAGCACGCCGGCCGGTCCCACCACTGGGCTGTCCTGCCTCCCCTTCCCACGTCAGCTCCCTTGCCATGCTCTTCCCTGGAGACTCCTTCGGGGCCAGCATGGTGCCCTGTCCCTTCCTTCTCCACATGGCATGAGGCACAGCGAGGTGCCCGGTAATCAGTGGCTGCATCGAATTCCAACAGGGACATCCAAGAAGCAACTTCAAGATCTAACCTCACGTGAGACACCAGGAGCAGAGAGAAATTCTGAGTCATCGGCGCAGGGTGGGTGGATGGATGGAGAAGGGGACAGGTGGGACGCGGCCCCAAGGGAAGCTTACCTGAGTTTAACACAGGGGGCTTTCCCCAGGTTGTTGTTGATGTCCTTTTCCTTGTTCAAGCCATACTGGTTGAATTTGGTCTTGAACAGAAACTTCCAGGGACAGTCCATCTCTGTGGCTTTGCAAAGCAGGTCACGTCTCTGGATTTAGACTCAGGTGTGTTTCACTGTGGGGCTGAGGAAGGGGAAGCAGACAGTGACGGAAGGTTGAGAAGAGGTTGCAGAACTGTGCCTTCTCATTACGGTTAGCTTACTAAAGAATCAACGTGAGTGCCGGCGTGAGTCCCGAACAGCCACGTTGGCAATGCTTTGCGACCTCTGTTCCTATTTTGGGGTTGGATTTGGCAACCCTACGGACATAGACTGCTATTCTACAAAGCCACGTAACAATCTAAAGGAAAAACCTTGGACCATCAGCATGGCCACTTCACAAGGACAAGCCACGTGCCCCCATGAGCCTCCTTAGTGGGACCTGCTGGCTCACCTGCCCCAGGTGAGCTTCATCACTGGCCCAAGGCAAAGAGGCAGGTGATCTCTGAAACATGGGTGCCTTTGCCTGACCCTGCAAGACAGATTCCAGCGGCTCTAATTAGCAACTATCACCTTAAGTCTGTTATTGGCGAAAACATTCTAGCTGTAGCTGCCTTTCTTTTCAGATTTTGCAACTGTTCATCCTAAGTCAATAATATCACCTGCTTCTTTTTTTATTATTCAGGGGGAAAATAATTATTTGTGAAAAAAACTGCACCCAACTCTCAATATTTGAGATCATCTCCTTTTAAAAAGACAAGAACTGAAGACCTAGGAGGAAGCTTCGCTCTGATCTGGGCTTGCCCACAGCAAACCTCCTCCCTGGGAAACTGTCACCGGAAGGCAGTGCAGTGATTTGGCCCCCGTAAGAGTTTTAGAGCCCCGCAGACCCCGTTTCAAATCCTCGCTCTATTAGTTATGTGACCTGGATGAAGGTATCTAACTGAAACTCATTTCTTCATCCATAAAATGGGTTTAATAATATCCATCTTTTACCAGGATTTGTTGCATGTTACAGGACTGGACAAGATAGATAATCTACGTAAAAAAAATTCTCAACACATACTTCCCCCTCCCATTCTGAACTTTCCAGAAAGTTTTTCCTAGAAATGTAGCATCCACGGCAAACATTTGCAGAAAAGAAATCTGAACAAGATGCCCTGTTCTAAATGACCGAAGCTCATAATGGCATTTCTTTACCTAGATTTTCAATCCGCTTATCTCTGTAGGCAGAAAATTCCCACAGTTTTCGGAGCCTTCCCAAACAGGAAGAAGCAAAACCCTCTCCAAACAGCAGCTTCCCCCGAAATAAAGGCCACTCACCTCACAGCTGGCTGCTCTGCCTCTGCAGAGTGAGGACAAGCAACTTAGAAGGACAGCCGTGCCTTGAGAACTTCAGGACAATCTATAACTGCCCGGTCCCCTCACCAAGGGTAGCCGAGTGATTTCAAACCAGTGATGCTGAGTGCCCTGGGGGCAGAACCTCAGTCTTCAACTCACTGCAAAGTTATGATCACACTGGCTGCGAAGAAGGATTTATAGCCACCCAGTGCCATCCAGGGAGCCGTTTTTGCATAAAGGTCTCTTTTTTTGTTTCCAAAGGGAGTGTCCCCGGCTGGGTATACAGTTAACTAATTTATGACTGGCACTCCTGGCCTGTGGGTGGCTTGATCCCACTGTTACATCACTCTGCGTGGTGTGTCTTCAGTAAAGCCACATTTTCCTGGTCCCAGGTCCAAAGTGGAAGGTCATCAGCAGGGTGGCCACGAAGGTGAAGGAGTCACCATGGAGCCAGGCTTTATTTGGCCCGGCCGCATTGCCTCACTTTTGGCATCTGGGGGATTTTTTTCCCTGAGCAGATTAATTCCTGTCCCACCCTCTCGCTTCTTTTCCAGTTTGCGGCAGGAGTCCAGGAAGCTGGGGAATACTGGCAGCATGGAAGTCACTGGAAAATGCCCAGATTACAGAAGGCCAGTGATGCTAGATGATGCCGTTATGCCAAACAGTCCCCAGAAACAGTCAGCTTGAGGTTTTGGGAACGGAAGGGAAGGAAGGCCGTTGGCACAGAGAGGCTTCTTAGATGTTAGTCTCACTGACGTCTCACCCTTCGGCAGAATGGCAGGTAGAATTATTTTCTACAGGGGAAAAAAATTTCTGTTTTTATAACAGAAATGATAACTTCTTATATGAAAAAATTATAATTTCTTACAATTTCATGTCTTATAATGCCCCAGATAGAGCATTGCTATATGGTATGAATTTTTCCGTTATAAAAGTAAAATAGCAACTACATTAGGGAGGATTTGGGAAATAGAAGGAAAAAAATCACCCTTGATTCCACCATCCCAGCACGTGGCTGCCACCATCCGTTCATTTCCTTCCTGTCTTTCCCAAGTTAAATTCAGCATTACCGTGTATTAAAGTTGTAAAGACACGTAATAGTGGCTCAAAGGTCTTTGTTGAGTGAATGAATGAATGAATCAATCAAAAATAGGAGTAAACTGGGATGAGTTTCTTTCAGGCTTCAACCAGTTCAGTTCAGAGAAACGACACTGATTGCAGAAAGACTCAGGAGTCCCTGGCCTTGGGGAGTGCAAAGCCCAGCAAAAGGAACAGACAGTATAGTACAGAGTGACACCTGTCGTGAGGAAGGGATGGCGTGGCACAGATGTTGCTGGATCTGCATTGCTCAGTGAAGGTTGACAGAGTGCAGGACACCAGGATAGGGTTTTGAGGGATGGTTAGGAGTTTGCCACATTCTAACCCTGTTCCCTATAACTGTTTCCACGTTTTCTGGCTATACCTGCAACAAATACGTGTATTAACCCAACGAAAACCCTATAAGATAGATACTATTACTTGCCATTCACGGAATCCTCTAGAATCCCATCTACTTGACGTTAGAACACTTGGTTGATTTTGCTTCAGAAAATGCGGTTATTCAGTTATGTGATCTGTCAAGCATGTGACCCTGCATGGGCCTCGGAAGCAGGGGCGGTGAAACCCCGGGCTGTGTGTGTGGCTCTTCCACGAGGCTGGTGCCCTGGCTCACCCTCTCAGATGCTCCCATCCTAGATGAAGAGGATCAGTCCCAAATGCAGTCCCTGGGGAGCATCCTCCACATCCCCTTTATGTTGTCCACTTACCACGGCAGGGAGGTGTCCTCACCCCACCAGAGTGTGTGAGGCTCGTGACTGCCTGGCTGCTTGTGTGGCCATTGCCTTGTGTGATGCTTCACCCTCTGGGCAGGTGTGGTGACCAAGGCACCTGGAGTTGCAGGTGAGTCTGTGGCACTAACTGAATAAATGGAGGGTGAAAGTGGTGTCTACCAGACGACCTCTGAAGTGCCTGGCACGGGCCGAGAGCTCGGTAGATACATGTTCCTTTCCCCGTCCCTCCTCCTCTGCCTTCTGCTCCTGTCACCAGCCTGGGCTGCAAGGCCACCCCATCACCTCGGGCACTGCTCTAACCCAGCGTCTGCTGACTGTGGTGTTCTTGGCCTGTGGCAGGGCTTGCACCGGGGGTGGGGACCCTGCGGCCTTAAAGTGACATGTGGCCTTCTAGATCCTTAAGTGCGACCTTTTGACTGAATTCAAATTTTACAGAACAAATCTTTTGATTACAAGGGGGGCAGCAGAGAAAGATGAAGCTTTTCTTGCCTCCTTTGGTGCTTAAAAAAGAACAATCTTGAAATCAGAAGGCCGCAGGCTGGTTCCCCACTGCCGGCAGGCTTTGATGACATGATTGGAATTAGCCTGTCAGGGAGGAAATATAATTTCTCCTCAACCCTCATAAATTCATAGTTGCAACAGATCCCTGTAACGAAAGGCAGATTAACAAGAAAAAAAGCAAGTTTATTAGCACATGCGGTACACATCACGTGGAAGAAACGTCCCTAAAAGGTGACTCGAAGCAGTGGCTTAGGACTCTGGTTTATAGATCTTCTTCAATAAAGAACAATAAATGTTAGAAAGGAAAAGCAGTTTTAGGCTTCCAGAGGTGGGAAACTGTGGGGAAGCCGGTACATGAGGGAAGCTAATGGAGTGAGGTTTGTTTGTAGATCCCTCTGGAACCGTCTTTGAGCTGATGAAAGATACCTTCTTGTTTTGATGCAGGAAAGACATCCTTCTTGAAGGAATTTTTACAGCTCGCCACAGGTCGGAGAGAACAGTTCAGACAGCCCTTTCTCCAGCTGCTGTTTCTCACGTGCCTCCCGCTTGGTAATCAGGATGCCACATCAGCGTAACGTGGGGTAGTGTGTTCTGGCTTCTTCCAGCATGAAAGGTCCGGGGTTCTAGTGACAGCTCTACTGCTGACCTGCTATGTGACCTCAGAAAAGCCACCTTTGCTCTCTGGGCCCGGCTTTTCATGTGACAAACAGCAACGAAGATAAAAGCGAGTAAATGAGATACAAGAAAAACGCTCTGAGCTGTTGAGCAAAAAGGCAACCGAGCAAGTGTTGATCCCTGTCGTGGGTCAGAGAGTAAGGAATTTCCTTTAGACAAAGAGAGCGGCGGGGGGGTTACGACGTGGCTTCGGGAGAATCCTCCCTCGGACGGGTCAGCAGGCCACCACTAACACTTGCTTCTAGATTCCCGATTCTCTCTCTCTCTCACTCTTTGCAACATTAAATTCATTTATTTCTTTTTTATTTTTAATTGGAATAAAATTCACCTAACATAAAATCACCAGGGAGGAGGAGCCAAGATGGCGCATGAGACAAGCCGCCAGTCAGAAGGTCTCTGCAAAAAAGACGAATTTTAGAAAAAAGAGAAAAAAAATAAGCAAGCAGAGAAACATAGATCAGGTGAGGGTCGGAAGGAAGGGTGCCCGAAACTACAGGAGACTCCACGGGAAGACGTTGCAGAGGAGAACTGGCAGGAGAAAGGTCCCGAGAGGCTTGGAGATCAGCGACAAGGGTAGGTGGAGAGGTTCACTTCCCCCTCCCTTGCATCTCGGACTGCTGGTGGCTCCTGAGTGGCTGGAGAGACCTGCCGACACCAGCCCAGAGACGGCTGCTGCCAGTGAGCAGTGGCCTCTTGCGGACTCAGCGCCGGGCTGCCAGCCCCTTCGGGGCACCT